GGCCGGGGCCGAATTTTCGGAGCCCACATTGATCTCATCTTCCTTCATCAATAAAGGGATTGATAGAGGCTATGTAATTGCTTCTCCGCTTGGAATGCTCCACTTGTTGAAACTTTTGAAAGTCAATCTCAATTTCTTTTGGAAAAAATTCAACACATTCCCTTCGTGTTGCCTCTTTTTAGTGCATGATGAAGCATGGTTGCAATGATGATTTTTGAGTGTTGTCACATTGAGCCTACTTGTTAGTATTTCTAGTGCGGCGACCATCGTTTAATGATGGTGATCGACTGGGGACTGCATGATAGTTGAGCCATATCCCTGAACATTGAAGTCTTTGACAAAGTACAAACTTCATTTGAGATTGTGGGGTGAGTCAAGATTGGATCCTATTGAATATTGATCCTGTAGAGAATTGCGTGATAAATTGAGGTAATATCTTATGAGATGTATATTGTTTGAGTTGGCAATTTTATCTTTGTGGAGGTTAGGATTGGGTTGATCTCTCTAGCATTTGACTTCATTGAAAGGTTGGAAAGATCGTAGTCAAACTCCATAGGCTTGAGCCCATTGTGGATTTTGTGCTGTTGCTCCTCTCTCTCCCTAAACTTTCCTTTTCAATAATGAGAGTTGAATTGTTGGGGATTCTGGGTTTAAGTGCAACTCCATTAAGGATTCTCATGCCAAGCATGATGTTAACCCATACAGGCACCTTTCTTTCTAGATGTTTACTCCCTCTGCTGATTTTGTTAAACTGCATGGTATCAACTGAGGTTTTTTAGCAGTTCGAGCAAGGTTGCTTGTGTGGAAACTTAACATCTTGATTTCAATGTACCTTCTTTGGTGTCTTGTAGGCTGTCCAGTGTTGAATTTTTTTGGTTGAAGCCTACTGGGGATTATTGTGGAACAAGTTCCTCCATATTTTGTAGGATGGTTGAGGTGGAATTATGCATTTTTCACTTGTTGGAGGTAGTAGGATGCTAGCATTAAATCTTGTTGATTGTGCTCCACTAGGAGCAGCAAATTTGTTGAAACTGGAACTATCAAGCTTATTGTTTGGGGGAGAGGTTGCTATAAGTTGAGGTGTGATATGGGATTTGACTTCTTACTTGAACTCTCCTTGAAGATAAAGAATGATTAGAGATGTGTCATGCGCATTTGATGTGACTATTTTCCTACTGAGGATAGCAAGATGCTAGAAGTTGGACCTTGTTGGTGATGTTGGAGGGTGAGGAACAACCAGGGTGGCACCCTATTGCTTGATTTTTTTTTCCCTTTCTCTCATAGGGAAGTTGGGTTTGTTGGAAGGTTGGACGATATTCAAAGGAAGAGTCGAAGATCGATGGCCGAGATCACTCCATTTTATTTTAGTTTATTAATTGTATTTTGATTTAATATTGCAATTTTCCTTTTTTACCCTTTTTATTTAAGAGTCTCGTCTTATGTAAGCCCAAGGGGCAAATTTGTCTTTTAGTTTCTTTTGAGGCCTATATATAGATGCCCCTTCTCTTGTATGAGGTATGATGAAATTATAATAAAAATTTGTGTTCTGCACTTGTGATCTTTTGGGAGGACGTTAGTGAGATTCCTATAAGAAGGAATCAGAGTTTTCACCAGCCGCAGGATGGGTCCGGGCTCGTGGCTTGAGGTCCATTGGAGAAGGGCAACGTATCACCCATCAGTCTTCGGAAGAGTCCAAGGCTCGCGGTTTTATCTTTTATCTTTTGTTTCTTTGTTTTGGTTCCTTCTTGTTGTTCCTAGTCGCCATCTTCATCCTCTCCCTACTTCCACCAAACCGGCTTCAGCTCCACCACCACTCACGGCCAAACCACAAGCCGCTGGCCCTCCCCTTGGTTTTCTCCCATCTTTGTCATCAAGTCTTTCCTAAATTTCCAAATTTAATTTATTAATTTAGGAATGCTTTGGATGCCTCATTAAACTCCCTCCTTTATTCCCTTCCTTTTCTTGCAAAATTAATTTGGGAAATATTTCCATTCAATTCCCCCAATCCAAATTTGAAATTTGAATTGTTTCCTTAAATAGGATTCTATTTTAGGAAACTCCTCCAATCTAATTCGAATTAACAAATAAATTAGATGGGAATTAATTTCCTTTCCTTAAGTTGGGATTCCCAAAGAGGCAAGTAACTAAAGCTTTCCCCAATTCCCCCTCTCCCTCTTTGAAACCGCCGGCCCCTGATGTGATGCATGGTTTGAGTTACACAGGAGTTAAGAAAAGAAAATTAATTAAAGTTTAACCATTCATAATTTCATGCTTCAAATTCAAATCGGTTACAAGAGCTCGTAGAGTTCCTCTTTGCTTAGGCAAAAGAATTACAATAAAAGAAGATAGCCGAACGATTTAATCTAATACAAGGAAAATAATAACGTTAAAAACTAGTAACTTGAATCCCACAAGTAATAAAGAGTTGTTCACACCTTGAGACCTCTTTCTCTCTTTCCTATGAAGACTAGGTTGAGTGGCGGAAGATCGTCCAAGCTAGTATTGAGGTTGCCACGAGGAGGGAGGAGCCAAGGAACGTCGCTGTAGAGAAGGATCTCGGAGGTGGAGGGGGCACGGTAGATCGACCTTTGATGATCCACGTGTAGACGGAGAAGTGGTCGTCGATGGAATCCACTAGCGTTGGTAGGATCCGGTCCAAGTATTCTTTGACGGTGTCGTCGAAGTTAAAGCCGACGTCGAAGAACTGTGATCTGAGGATGTTAACCCTTCCATTGTTGTTGTACTCAAACCCGAAGTTCCACTCGGGTTCTTCCATGCATTCTTGAAAGGGAACGTGGGTGGTTGCCGCAAGGAAGCCTCTAAAGGGAGGGAGAAGTGGGCGGCGGCTTGGAGAGCCAAGGGGGAGGCCGGCGGTATGGAGGGGAGAGGGAGGGGATGTGATGTTAGAAAACTGAAATTAGTTTCAGTTTTAGGGATTTGGGAGGGAAAACTTAGGATTTGATTTTGAAATCCCTAAATTAAGGGAGAATTAATTGCTCAATCAATGGGAGAGTCAATAGAGGGGGAGGCCGGCGGTTTCACAAGGGTTAGGGTTTGAAAAATAGAAGAAAAGCTGAGTGGGATTTCAGTTTTAGTGAAATTGGAGGGATTAAGGAGGAAATTAGAATTTGAAATTCAAATTAGGGAGGGATTAATGGAGAATTAATGGGAGCTCCTTGAAAGGGGGGCCGGCGGCATCAATGAGGGAGAGAGGAGTTGGTAGAGAGGGGAAACGATTCCAAATTAGGATGATGCTAGGAAAATCTTGTCCTCATGAATCCAATTTCATTTTATGTGAAATAAGATTCAAAATTCGAAAACTTTCCAAAAATGGATATTCCTAATTTGGAAATAATTTGAACTTGGAGTTCAAATTCAAAACATGATTCCAAGAGGAGTGGTGGTGGGAGGATGGAGGAGGGGGAGATTGAAATCAATTTCTAATTTCAAATTAGAGGTGGGGAAATTAATTGCAATTAATGGGGGAGCCCATTAAGGGGCCGGCGGCATGTATAGAGGGGGAAGAGGATTTGGGAAAGAGGGAGAGGGGTTTCTAAGTATGGATGATGACTAAGCAAATTTTAAATCAATCCCATTCAATTAGAATTTGAAATTTTGGACTCATTCAAAGCTTACCATAAGTGGACTTTCCAAATTTAGAAAGGATTTGAATTTGGAAATTCAAATCCCAAGCAAGGTGGCGAGGGAGGGAGATGGGGGACGGATGGAGGTGGGGAGGAGCCGGCGGTAGAAGTGGCCGGCCGGTGGGATTGACGTGGTCGACGGGTGGGGGGCTCAAGGCGGCAACAAGAAGGGAGATGGCCCGACTTCTTCTAAATTCATGGTGTGGATGGCGTTGCTCATGGATGAGGTGAAGATCAATGGAAACTAACACAAGGAGAACTCACAAAGAGATCTCATGCTAAGAACTCACTAAGAGATCTTTGAACTCACAAAGAGATCACACAATAGAAATTTTCATTCATCAAATCAATAGCCCATACATGATACAAGGGGCATATAAATAGGCTCCAAATGAAAGTAAATGCAAAAGACTAAAATGCCCCTGGGGTTACAAGATCAAACTAATACCCACAAGGGTAAAATGAGAAAAACTGGAAAAACAACAAGTAGTGTAAGAACTGCAGATACAACAAGTCATCAGTAGTAAAGACTATCCATCATAGTCGTCGATCTCCGGTGTCGCCTCTGATAGACGCGCCGGAATCTCCTGTCGAAGCCCCCATCAGCCCCCTTCCTACCCGCCACCCTTTACCCCCTCTTGCTCTTTATTGAAGCCTACTTTCCTTTTCCATACACCCTCATTTGGGAAGCTTTGATATTACTTATTCAATTCAATTTTGAATAAATTCCTAAAATAGATTGATCTATTTTAGGAAAGTCTTTAAATCAAATCCTAATTAATGACCCTCACTTATGGCCGGCCCCCTCCCCTTTCCATATTCCCTCTCCAATTAATTTCCCTCAATTAATTAATTCTCTAATTGTATATCCCATTATGGGAATTAATTAATTCTAATTCCAAATCTCCCCCACCCCCATACCCGTTCTACATCAATGATATTTTGAATTGCGTGTATGAAGAACTTTGTTGGCACTTCTAGATAAGTTATACAATGAGGTGATATGAAAATTGCTGCGTTGATGTTACTTTTCCCAATCTAACCTAGCCACCTAAAAAAGTGAACCTCAAATGAATTTTTATGTTAATTTATTTGAGAGTGTTGCAACACTCTATTGTAATTGTTCCATAATCTTCTGACAATATATGTTTACTTTTTATGCTGTTTTAAATCAGTGAAATGAATATTGACTTAACTGTCCTATGAAGGTTATAGCCATTGACTTCAGAGTTAACGGAATAAGGCTTTATAGCACTTAGGCTAAATATATATCTATCATTTGCATTATTGGATTCCAATTGGACCTTTGTTGCAGCTGATTCATCCCATTTGTTATTTAATTTTCGTTATTTGCAGCTTCTGGATCCTGGTAGATATCCATGGTTGTTGAAGACTCTTTATGGACTTCTGAATTTGCTGCCGCAGGTTTGTTAGTAATTCATATATATTGGCGTTTGATTTCTTGCTTAACCCGTTTTTCTTATTGCTAGGTAGTTGTCTTGCATGTTGAACTACTGTATGGGAAAGCTATTAATTCATATTTAGATATTTTACTAAAACTAGAAAGAAAGAAACGCTGCATCTAAATAGGTTCCATTGCCTGTGAATATGGATATGTAGATGTAGATTCAAATGCCTATCTCTACATTTGCTTCAGCATGATTTCAAATCTCTACATTTGCTTCAGCATGATTTCAACTGCACTATTTTTAAAAAGGCTAAGGCTCTTCACATTTTTCCCAAAATAAACCAGGACCATTCATCCATTTTAATATACGCTACAATTAAATGGCTGCTGACATTCCACTCAAATAATATCCAATAAAAATGCTACTTATATAGTAAATAATTTTTTTTAATATTATTTATAAATATATTTGATTTTCATAATATAATTCAAGAGATGTTTGACACTCCATGTAATATCCTAGAATCTAAATTTAAAAGAATTTCTATTTTAATCTCTTAATTAATCAATCAAAGCTTCTAGAAATTCATCAATATAAATCAATCTAACTGCAACAACTAAAAATTAGATACATCAAAATATAAAACCATATTCATCCCTCAAAATTTATGTACAAAAGTCTGGAGATCAATCATTATATTCATTTCAACTTTTTAAGCTCCTGACTACAAAATAATAGAACTAGAGAAAAATGCATAAAACAAAATAAACATGAATTCATGATTTGTCCTCACTATACTAGATCCTGATCCTTTCCTGAAAAACATGTTGACCTCATTTATAAAACAAATAAATAATCATTGTTGTCATCTCTTTAAAATCCAAATTCGAGTCATATTTGAGGGCGATTCAATTAGATTTATAAAATTGAGCGACTTCAATTCAATTTGACTCGTTTCGAGTTCGATTTGACCTCAACACCATCATGAACCCATTTAATTGAATCAAGCCGAGCTCGAATTGATCTGAACTGATCACAACCCATATCTTTTTGCTTTAGTCATGAATGTTTTCACTAGACATTTGCAAGAGGATGTACCTTAGTGTTTGCTTTTTGCTGATGATATTCTTCTTGTTGATAAGACTAGAGAGGGAGTTGAAGATAAATTTGAATTATGGAGGTCAACTTTAGAGTCTAAAGGTTTTCGCTTGAGTAGATCTAAAACTGAATATATTGAGTGTAATTTTAGTAGCAATAGACCTAGTGAGGGGATTGTGACTTTGGGCGATCAAGTCATTAATAAGAGTGCATGCTTTAGATATATTGGATCTATTGTTCAGAGTGATGGTGAAATAGATGGGGTTATTATTAGCAGAATTCAAGTTGAATGGTTGAAGTGGAGGAATGCATCGGGCTTGTTGTGTGATACCTCAAACTTAAAAGAAAATTCTATAAGATTGTGGTGAGACCTACGATGCTTTATGGTGCCCAATGTTGGCCATTAAAAGAGAAGCATAATATTTAAGTTAAGTGTTGCAGAGATGAGGATGCTCAAGTGGATGAGTGGATTTACTCTTAGAGATATGATACAAAATGAGCATATTCGTGAAAAGGTTGGAGTAACTCTAGTGGAAGATAAGATTATAGAGAGTCGCCTTGGATAGTTTGGTCATATAAAACAGCGGCATTCAGATGACCCGGTTAGGAAAGTAGAGGTATTAGATTTGACTTATGTTAATAAAGGTAGAGGTAGACCTAAAAAGACTTTGTTAGAGAATATTAGAAATGATCTTTCCTTATTTGATTTAAACGAGAATTTTACTTTTAGCAGGACACAAAAGAGAAAAAAGATTCATGTGGCCGACCCCACGTAGTGGGACAAATGCTTGATGTTGCTCTTGTTCTTGTTGATCTAAATGTTGTCGAGTCGATTCGACTTGACTCAAAGGCAATTTAAGTTCGAAGACTTCAACAGACATGATTAAATTCAATCAAAATTAAAATTCTGCAAAATCAGCCTTAAATTACTCCTAAAATACCATAAAATGATTTCATCCCTTAGATCAAAGGGGCAAGATGGTAATTCATATTTCCTTAAGTATCTAGGCATCAATATAGGTGTTTGGGGGGCTGGTTTGTGCGGCTGAGTAGATTCAAGAGAGGGGGGGAACGGGATAGGCGAGAGGGGCGGTGTGAGTGCGTACATTCTTCCCCATCCGATTCAATTTCTCTCATCCATGGCATCCAAATGGGAGACAGAGGCGGCTTGCTTCCTTCGATTCCTGAGCAGGGAGCGGAAGAGCTTTCGAATGCTGCTTGCATTGTTTGCATATGGCTGCGATGGATTATATCTAAGTTTTTTTTTTTATGATGATATGGTATGTAAGTATATTAAAAGCATATGAATTTTCTCATGATCACTTAAGTTAAAATATTCTTTAAGTGAATATTAACAGTTAAAATCTTTGATAGATTAATATAGTAGAATAATTTGATATCTATTTAAATCTTGTACATAACTTAAATGGCATTTATTTTAATATGTGCTCTAAATTTTTATTAAAATTGACTGCTATACACCAACAAAACATCCTATCATAAACCTGCTACAACAACCCTTCGTTTGGCAATAATTTGGATTTAACTGGAGTAGTATCCAGTAAAGCCTATCAAGATTAATGCTTGCTGTTTGAAACTGTTGCTTGTTCAGAACTTTTCCTTTTCTCTTTTATTCCATAAAAACGATTTGGACACCTCTTTATATATGCCTTTGATGCTAATCTTCTTTGATATGGGTAAATAAAAAAAGGTGAGCGAGTAAAACTTTAGAGGTTTATTCTGTGTAGGACATTCAAATGCCAGTGTGTTGGTCTCAGTTTGATATAATTAGTTGTGGTCACCTCAATGTAATCAGGTGGTGTTATGTGTATGTATAAATATGAAGTTTTGAGATAGCTACTTCAAACTTGATGTGATGTGAAACATATGCATGGAAACAAGAATTACTTGTGGATTTTAATATAAGATTATTAAAGTGTTGCTAGTTATAGACTTAATGCTTACCCAAGTTAGGCTTTCAGAATTATCAAGGCGAAATTATGTATGGCATGCGGTTACAACTAGATTAACGGGATGCTATCAATTTAACAATATAAAAATAGAGAGAGTAATGTTATGGCAAAAACAATAATCCACGGCTAACAAATAAAACTCTTCACCTTGGGTCCCTCACTCACTCTCTTGATGGTGGGGCTTTAATGGAGGAAGATTGAGAACGAACCGAGCAACCGAGCAATGCCACTAAGAGACAAATGGTGCCCAAAGTCTAGTCCGTTAGAGAAGTAGCCGGCGATGGGGAATCCACGGGATGACTAGTGAGCATCCAACGTCCGGGAAGAATGCGCTCCTCGATGGACGGTACTAGTGTAAATAGGATGCGATGTCAGTAATCCTCCATGGAAGCATCCACGTCTAGGTTCACGTCGAAGAAGGAGATTCGACAATGTTTGTTCGTCCTTGATCATCATATAAGAAGCCATGGTCGGCTTTCGGATCGGCCATGCATAGCGGTGGTGGCGTTTGGAGAAGAACAAGCTTGAGATTTGTGAGGAGGAAGGGAGAGGTTGATGGGGAAGACTTGGGAGGGTGAGGGGCGGCTAGGATTAAGGTTTCTTTTGGGTTGAGCCAAGTGGTTTGGGGGGGGAGAAGGTGAGAGGAAAAATTCATTAGAGAGAGAGCCGATTTGAAATTCAAATCAACTCAATTAAGGTATTAATGGGGCCGGCGGTTATTAGGGGATTTAGGGAGGGATTAAATGTTGCTTAGGTAGCAAAGTGGAGACAGAGAGGGGAGAGGGGGTTTAGAAATAAGAAAAACTGAAATTAATTTTAGCTCAAGTGAACTTGGAGGGAGAATATTTGAAATCAATTTTGAATTTCAAATAAGGGCGGAGGAGTAATTGAGCATTCAATGGGGGAAGCCCAATAAGGGGCCGGCGGCATCATGCATGAGGGAGGGGAGTGGGGAAGGAGGTAGAGAAGTTTCCAAATAGGTGGTGATTATTAGGAAAAAAGAAAAATAAATCCAATTTGATTTATTTTAAAATTGGATTCAATATAGAAACTTTCCTAATTTAGATTTTCCTAAATGGAAAGAATTTGAAATTCAAAATTTGAATTTCAAATTGGGAGGCTAGGGGAAAAGAGGGCCGGCAGGTGGATGATGGAAAGCCAGTGACTAGATGGCCGGCCGGCGGGTGGGAAGGTGGCCGGCGGCTTGGGTATGCCGGCAGCAAGGAGGGAGGGGCTCAGGTTCTCCAAGGAAGTTGGCGGGGTGAGGATTTCTTGAAAGGGAAGAAGAGAGAAATAGGCGTAGGTGGAAAGGAAATTGTAAAGCCACTAACCTCAACACCACATCCACTAGAACTCACAAAGAGATTCACGATACCCTCTCCTCAAGAACTCACAAAGAGATCTAGGGAAATTTTAGAACTCACAAAGATATCAACAATAAAAATTTTTCATTCATCAATAATCATCCCCTAGTACAATGCATGAGGCCTCCTGTAAACAGACCAAAATGAAACAAAAACTAAAAGACATAAATGCCCTCGGGGCTATAATATCAAATGACCACCCATAAGGGTAAAACAGTAAAAACTGAAAAATAAAATAAAATACTACATTAAATGACTCAAAAAAATAAACTCCTGATCATGGTCGTCGATCTCCGGCGTCTCCGATGGTACATGTGTCGAAATTGCTGGCGATGTCCTCATCATGATGGGTCTTGGTTTTCATCCACAAACTATTTTTTGAAATAAGATTGATGCAGATTTTCATTCTTTTTATGCTCCAAACTGTTATAGAAATTAAACAATGTGCAGATTTTGTTCTTCTGTATCTCAAACTGCTAATTTTTTTTTATCCATGTGAGAATTTTTATGCTGGGATCATAATATCAATTGGCAAAGTTTTAGAATTAAAACTCGATACGAACATATACACTGAAACAATTTCTATGAAGTGTTGTGTGCTGAAATTAGTCTTAATGGGAAATTGTTCCCCCTTGCATTGAAAGGCTTGCTGAAACTGATCTTATGAGTAGTACAAATGTTGAAATCTCTTCTTTTTCATAGTGCTATTTGCTAAAATTGTTCTCGTGGATAATATAAATACTGAAGTTTTTCTCCTCACATAGAAATACTTGTTGAAATTGTCCTTGTAAGATGATATACATTCTTCTCCTTTACATGAGTATATATGCTGATATACTCTTGTGAGACATTACTAATATGAAAATTTCTTTCCTCATAAAAGCATATACCGAATTGTTCTTGTGACTTTTTTGTTCAATGATAAATTTATTTATCAAAACAAGTTTCCCTAAAAAATTTTCCATGAATTATTTTGTATCCTATTTATCTAAAATTTTTGCAATAAGAATCACCAACATTTAATTTCTTTTACAATAGAGAAATTAAGCTAGCACAAACTATGTTTCTGTTGAGATTTTGAGGTTTACAAGCTATTCACTTCATCATATTCATCCAATGAATTTAGAAGCATTATCAAAGCATGCAATAAGTCTCTCTCATAATTTCAAATTCATCTGGATGGAAAAATTTTTCGTTTTAATATTATATTATTTTTTTAATTTTATTTAAATATGTAGAAATATTAATTGATTGCCATCAGGCCCATCACGCATTGTTCCCTTAAATGTTTCTCATCTATTTATGCAGCAAAGCGCTGCCTTCAAGATATTAAAAACTAGATTGAAAACTATGCCTCCACACACTCTTGTTGATGATCAAGTTAAATGGAGATCCTCTGGAAACCCAAATACACAAATTCTTGAAGTTACTGAGCATGGAAGCCATATCCATGATCAAGGGAACATGCATATTGCTATTAACTTTGCATCACGGCTACAGCAGTTTAAGAACGTGCAGAACCTGCATCGGATGCATTCCAGAAATACGCAGTTTCCTCTGAGTTCCACGGCAGCTATGTTTTCACAGGTTAGATACTTCGTATCAGATCAAATATCATGAATTTTATATAAGTGGAATGCTGAAAGTTCTTATTTTGTGCCGATTATGTATACCTTTAAATTTCTTTTTCATTATCGCGTGGTATGAACTCAAACATTAAAATTTATAGAAAACACAGAAGTGTACCAAATGTATTGATTACAAGGTAATTATAAATTGCCTGGGGCTCCTGATGGAGAGGATAGAAGGAATTGGACAAATATAGGATGCCCACAACTCCTGATAGATTGTAAAGGGAGATGGAGTGAGCCCTGGGCTTTTATCCTCTTATATTTTTATATACCCTAATTCCCCCAAAGTAAGGTATTTATAGTGCCCTAAAAAGCTTATTAAACTACTAAATAAACTTAATAACCTAATAACTCACATGACTCTCTAAATTTTCCTATTACAATTACTCGTTTCATCTCAACAATCTCCTTGGCATATGCTCATTTTTAGAATAAAAAAATAGATTAGGATAGGTTTCAAAATCTTTAAATTTGCTTTAGAATTATATATATATATATATATATATATATAGAGAGAGAGAGAGAGAGAGAGAGAGAGAGAGAGAAAGACCAAAATGGTCCATCAACTCCTCGTAATAGGACTATTTTGGTCATGCTGCCAATTTTAAACGTAAAAATGAGATGGGCAGGAGGGTATTATTGGAACAAACAAAGAAGAAGCATAAGAACGGAAGAAAGATGGCTACCATCGCAATGAGCAAGCTCCCGTCGTCATCTTTACTATCAATCGCAGTCGATTTGGCTGAAGAAGCGCACGAATGAAAGAAATATGGCTACCTTCGCAACGAGCAAGCTCCCGTCGTGGCCCTTACTTTCAATCGCAGTCGATTTGGCCAAAGGAGCGCGCAAACGGAAGACAGATGGCTGCCTTCTCAACGAGCAAGCTGCCGTCATCATCGTTACCTCCGATCGTAGTTGATTTGGCCGAAGAAGCGCGCGAACCAAAGAAAGATGGCTACCTTACTTCTAATCGAATAGAAGAACCGGAAAATGTGATTTTGGATCCGACAGGAAGGTAAGCCGTCAAAATACTCGAAGAAGTTATTGTAGCTAGTCGTTCAAAACTCTGCCCGTCACACAAAGGAGGTGAAGTTGAAGAGCAATAAATAGTGAAGAAGAGGTAAATAAATTATGTATAATTATTAAAACTAAATTATGCATAATTTTTTTTATTAAAGAAAAGTTTAATAATTTTTTACAAAAATTATAATCTCTAAAAAAAATACATTTATTAAATATTTTAATTAAAAAAAAAACTAAATTATCGTCATACTTAACACCGTCAACTCTACCATTAGATGGCAGAACTAAATTATACTCATACTTTTAAATCATTTTGATCCTTCATAAAAGTTAGGTATCATGTTATATATATATTTAAACTTTGTATTGTACTCACCTTAAAATAAATACAATAAATGAAAACCCCGTCACAGAATTATCCTCATTTTTAACAAATTTTCTTGTGGTTTTCTTATAATCTATCAGGTACAAATATCTGAAGAGCTGCGCCCGCCTGTGGCCCATAGTGAAGTTAGCCATCCTCCACCCAGATCATCCTGGACAAATTCTGGACAGTTCCATCAACATTGAACTTGCCAAACTTGGCGTCCCAATCTTCTTCATTTCAAATATCTGTGTCAGGTAAAAGGAATTCAGTGGGTATATGATACTTTGTAAATGACATCGGTTACTCTTTCATAGTTTCGGGCAATTATTATTGCAGAGATTATGATGTATTATTGGGTTACGGTGAGGTTTATGTTTTGTTTGGGACGGCTTTCTTACTGCTCTTTAAAAAAAAATTGTATACAAAAATTAAACTTTTTTTACCAAAAGCTGCTTTAAGAAACAGTAAAAAAGTTTTCTCAAACAAAGCCTTAGGCTTCGTTTGGGGTGGTGTTCTTACTGCTTCTTAAAGCTATTTTTTTGTATAAAAATTTTAATTTTTGTAATAAAAAATTACTTTAAGAAGCAGTGAGAAAATCGTCCCAAATGAAGCCTTAGTTTCATCACTGAGCTGTTATTTTTTCTGCTCATATGGCTATTTATATTCACGCCCTATATCTTTTATTCCTTTTATTAGACTTTGGTTTTATTTAAACTCTTTTACGGTCACCCGCAAGTTATAATAGGGCAAGCAGTCTGGAAATGTACATTGTAGCCTATGCTGAGTTACCCTGCTGTATTGATATTATTATTATTATTATTATTTTGAGATGATGATGGATAAATTTTAAATGGTGGAGCTTGAATTTATGATTTCTAAGAATCAATTTTCTTGAGCAACTTTCTCTTTTATTGAATTGCATTAACTCTTTTCTTCTTCTCTTAGAAATTTTTTGTTTTTTTGAATAAGGAAATAAAATTGAAAAAAAAAATTCTTTGTATGGATGGTTGAACTATTACTTAGCTCACTTTAATCTGTTGGTTGAGAGTTTTGATTATTAATCAAGAAATTTTGTGCTTGAAGTTTTCGTATGTGTGAGATATAGCTCACCTTTGTCTTTTGGTTGGGAGCTTAGACTATCAATAAAGTGGTCTTGGGTTCGAGTCTTGGGTATGCGAGTCGGTCTTAATTGAGTTAAATGTCTCAAAAAAAAAAAGTGTATGTGAGTTTATTTTAATTGGCTCGAAAGTCTAAAAAAGAAATGTATAACCGTTGCATCAATATTAGTTATGCTGTGTTTGTCAGTTTTATGTTTCTTAAAAGGTAGCCCTACTTGTTCATGAATGTGCTTGTTTGATAGTGTAAAAAAAAATTACTAAATTTGTTTACGAACATAGCTCGTTAAGACTTGTTTGTTTAAAGCTCGATAAGCACTAAACGAACCGAACATGAACCAAATATGAAAATCATTAATTTAAATGAATCAAATATGAACACAAACAATAAGGCTTGAATCAAACACGAACTGAACTTGAACAAGCTAATAATAAACGAACTCAAATATGACCACTCACATGCTCGGCTCCATTCGATTGTAGGCCTACATGTGGATTCTAATTACTCGCAACAAATTGAAAGGTTTGAGACATTTTATTATTTTTTTAAGAATGGTTTCAAATTATTTGCAATCAAATTATTATTATTATTTTTTTCTTTGGAAATAATGTACGCAAAAAGCAAAAAATAATCTAGAGAATAATTTAAGATGGATGAAACCCTTAAATTTATGTCCTTCTCAAAGATTGAAACTCATGAGAAGCCAAAACACCCACCTAGGGGTGTAAAAGAGTCAAGACGAGCTTGAATCACTTATGATTTAAGCTTGAGCTTGATTAATTAATTGAGTGTAAGTTTTATTCTATGAATCTAGGCTGGCTAGTTTATTATGAAAGAAAATTATTAGAGATATAAAATTTAAACATTTTAATTAATTTTACACAAATTTTTCAATGTTAATATTTTTTAAATAAGTCAGTTCTCAAGTAAACGAGTCAGGTCAAAACTAAATTTAATTTTGCTTATTAGTTTATCAAGTTCGGCTAAGGTGCCATTTATCTAGCCGAACTAGCTCACAAGTCGGCTTTATCCACTTAAGAGTTAAGATCCTACACGGCTACACCCCCCTAAGAGCAATAACAAAAGGCCACATGATTCAGCATCCAATTCTTTCTCATTAATTTCTTCCCCTCCTCCTGAAGAATTCATGACTTAAGTCTTCTTCAATTTGCGGATGTTGATTTTTTTCAAAAATAATGTTGAGCATAAAAAATTTAAACCCAACAAGAAATAATTCTTCTTTTTGGAAGTTTATATTAGTTATGGTTATTTTGGTTTCTTATGGTATTGTTTTTATTTGATGTGATGGATTAGGGTCAGTACAATTATGAAGCAGGATTCCTGCTCGCACCACGGACGACCATGAGTTGGTTAGCAAGCTTGGTTTTTATTTCTCTATCAGTTTTGGTGGGTTCTGATTGCATTTGGATTTTCGATTATTATCATCTTTTTCTTCTTGGATGGCCCAAGCTTGGTAACTAGGTGTTGGTCTGAGTCCAATTTTTTTTGGGTTGTTTCTTTCTTTATTTTGTTCAGGTTTTTGAGCACTAACGTGTATTGTAATTTTCTTACTGTAATATTGCTCTTTGAATTGTAATTTTCTTTATTTCGTTCAGGTTTTTAGTCTATTGATCTTTTTATCTAATGAATTTTTCTTTAAAAAAAAATGGCCACAGGTTCATTAGAAGGACAGTGCCCTTAGCCATCAGCGAAAGATGCTTTCACCTTGATAGTGAAGTATCATTTTTAGGTCTTCCATGGTACTAAATTTAGCCGCGTCTTTTGGCCTCTCCGCTCGGTGGGAGTGTTTTAAATTCAAATTATTAATTGTTTGGATTTAGCAACGACTTGGAATATAGGAAAAAAATAGGTCTTTATGTGACTATTTCACATTTTGTTTGGTCGTATTCAAACCTCTCTCTCTCTCTCTCTCTCTCTCTCTCTCTCTATACATGAATTAAAATTCTAGGACTTCAGTAAAAGATGCAAAAGCACATATGGTTAAGACAAGTGGAAATTGAATAACATTGAATAAATTGAGGTTATCCGTAGACTCTTATTCAGAATTAGGGGTGTCAATTTCGGGTCATGGGTCGGATTCGGGTTGAACCCGGAACTGATCCGGCATTATTCGGATCAACCCAAACCCGACCCATTTGTAAAAACGGGTCGAGTTTTGGGACCCGAACCCGAAATTTTTGGGTCAGGTCCGGGTCAGATTTTCGTGTCGTGTCAAATATTGACAACCCTGTTCAGAATATGAGCATTACAGAATTGACTATATAATATAATTATACAAGAAATATGAGAAAATATAATAACTTTTTAGTCTAGTTATAAGATCCAAATTAATGAAGTCATTTGCTGAGCTTTGAAGAAGTTACCGATCTAATATATATTGATAGCTGAATAGTTGAGTTCTTGATCAACCGTTTGTTTTGAGAGGTTGTCCATCCTTGAGGAATCATCAAGGCTGACTTCATAGATTTTTTTTTTTTTTTTTTAACTCCCTATCAGAATGATCAAAATTCCACGATTTGCTTCAGCAAAGACTTACAATATAAATAAGAGAATTCTTCATTTGATTGCTTTTCAAAAAAATTTCATACCAAACCTATATATATATCATAATTTAGACCGTTAATCTGTCCCTAATTTGTTTACTATTATTAGTTGTAAGGGATCAAAGTATTATTAAAATTTGTGGAGAACATGGAATAGAAGTTTGAACGAAATTCCAGTCAAAAATAATGGTTCATGTTCATGAGGAAAACGTGTTAGACAATTTTTTTATTTAATATTTATAAAAGCTGAATTTCAATTAGAAAGATACCACATCAACACCAAGTCTTTATCTAAATACATGGGATCGACAAAATGAAATTTTATTTTTTTATTATATCCTATTAAAACTTAAATTCTCATATAGAACTAATAAAAAATCATTTATCATATTTTAAATAAAATTTTAATAAGAATAAATTAAAAACATATATATTTTTAAGATGAGTATAATATTAATCATGTATGTTATATTTATTCAAAAATATATTTAAAAAACGTGTATCACGATTATTGGCTAGTTTTTCATTCGTTAATATCACAATTCATGACATTGTACACAGCTTTCCAACCTAGTTGCAGCAAGCTCAAGAAGCTAAATTACACCATGATTATGTTTGGGATGGCTTTCTTACTGCTTCATAAAACAGCTTTTCTTTAAGAAGCTGAAAAAGAAGCCATCCCAAACTAAGCCTATATAGATAGACAAAAGTTACATACTAACAATACTGATCTTATAGATCTTATAGACGCCTTCTGCTCCATGACTTAGCTAAAAACACTTAGCGGCTCATTTCTCCTTGCAGAGGTGGAGGAACGGTGCCCACCCCTTGACCCTGCCTCTCCACATTCGCCTGCCACCCTGCAAATTTTTACCAGCCACAGGAACAATTTGTAATCTAGAAATTTTAAGATACTAGGATTTCATTTGAGATTATTTCTTAAAGCGATTTTTTAGTTCAAAAATTATAAATTTTGAACTAAAAATTTGCTTTAAGAAGCAGTAAGAAAATCGTTCCAAACAAAATCTAATTGAGGAGAATGGGAAGAACTCACCTATGGTCATGTCGAAGCCCCGCCGCTTGAGCTCACGATACTCCTGGCATAGCGCGCAGTGCTCGCAGCAGAAATGCAGAAGGCAATCATTGCATGGGCTCTTCTTCAGCGAGTACTGGCTTCTCATCCTTGATCGGTAAAAGCAGGAGTAGAACCATGGGCATCCAGTCACAAAGCATATTAATGCGTACAACGCACCGCTTGTTCCACATGCTTCATCAACAACAAATATCTCATTCAGGTTTTGGTAAGTAGTTATCAGAAAATTTTTAGATTATTTTTAATTTTTTCCAAACAGAACTTCCCTTTTGTTTTCAGAGCTACTGATTCATCTTAATATTTCTGAACTAAAGTCTTTAATAATACCATACAGTAGAAAAGTTCACTAAAAAAATCTGATTTTGCTGCAAAAAAATAGTTTTTACAACTATAATATCAATTATCTTGCAAAATAAGAATCATTGAGAAATAAAATATTTAAAATTTTCGTTCATTCCTAACTTCTAAAGTGATTCACAGAGCAGAAAATTAGAAGAGAAAACTCACATGAGGATCCCCTGTCCACAATTTCTGCAATTCTGCCAAAGGTGATGCAGGGACAGCAACAAGTAACACAGCCTGCAAAAATTTCTCATCAATGGGAAAATTAAAAAAAAAAAGATTTACAGTTAGGATATTAGTATCAAATTATTAGATCTGTTTTGAGATAAGCGTTGTATAAATTAATCATATATTACGCTTATCTTCAAACAGATTTACAAATTTTAAGGTCTACTCTGATAAAATTTCTTCCCTGCAACTACAGCTTCATAAATAGAAGAACAAAGCAGAAGAATGGTTACAGTTTGACTTGTCATCGCAGCAGTTGCAGAGACCGGTTGACCAAGCCACCTGCGCCTGAGACTGGACGTTGAAGGCGGCGGCGCCGCCACCAGCCGACGGGTAGAACTGGTTGGCTGAGCTCACCGGGAAGCCGGACGCCGGCGTCCCATAGCCATCTGCTTTGGATGAATACATTTAATTTGATAGGGAAGAAGGGGAGCAGAGGAAATGGGGAAGATGAGAAAGTGGAGATGAGGAGATTAGTAGAGTTACTTCAATATTTATGGTTAGAATGACCGTGAAGAAAGCTAAGAAAGAGAGTATTGCGTTGACACGACTTGCTCGTCCTCAGCAGAAATAATAATAATAATACTAGATTTTTTTTTTTAGTTGGAAGTCTAAGCTCTCAACCAACATATTAAATTAATATGTACTGTATAAAAGAGATATTTTAGGTAGCAATATTAGTGATTGTCATGATTGATAAGGGTCGATTGAATTAGTGGGAGTAAGAGGTCAGGCGCCTCGTCAATGGTTTCACAATTGAGCCATATCAAAATAAATCAATAAACATTTTTATAATTTTGATTATTGTTGCGGGCTAAAATATACATTGCGATAAAGTTAGAATGCTACGTCTTAGCGTTGTTCGGATATCCAGCTCATAAACATATAACACAAGATTTTTACGTGGAAAACCTTGAAAAAAGGGAAAATCACGGGGTCTGATCCAATTGAAAATGATTCCACTAGAACTTAAGTTGGTTACAATTAGTTGACTCGCCTCCAAGGGCGATCAGATTACAAGTATCAATTGTACGATAGAAATTCGAGTGTCAGGTGATGGTCCGGCAGAACTTCGGGCCTCAGGTGGTGATCTGGCAGAAATCTGGGCGTCAGGTGGTGGCTTGGCAGAGCACAGGGCTTAATGTGGTTGTTCGTAGAGCACGGGGCATCTGGTGGTTGTCCGGCGAAGGCAAGGGCCTTAAGTGGTGGTCTGGCGAAAGTAAGGGCCTTAAGTGGTGGTCCGGCGAAAGTAAGGGCCTCAAGTGATGGTCCGGCAAAGGTGAGGGCCTCAGATGATGGTATGGCGAAGGCGAGAGCATCAAGTAGTGGTTCAGCGATGTGAGGGCCTCAGGTGGTGGTCCAGCAAAGGAGAGGACCTCAAGTGGTGATCCCGTGAAGGTGAGGGCCTCAGGTGGTGGTCCGGCGAAACTCCGGTGGTGGTCCGGCGAAACTCCGGCGGTGGTCCGGCGAAACTCCGACGGTGGTCCGGCGAAACTCCGGCGGTGGTCCGGCGAAACTCCGGCATTGGTCCGGCAAAACTCCCGCGGTGGTCCAGCGAAACTTCGACGACGGCCTAGGAAGAGCTTCTTCCTTCTCTTCCTCTTTTCTTCTCTTATTGCTTGAGCCCATTTTCAAGAGAAATGAGAGGTCTATTTATAGATTTCTAGAGTGGCATGGCCCGTAAATAAGTGAGAGATCAAGGGTAAATGGGGAGTTGTTGGATGGACGGCCGATGTTGAATCCTTTGATCATGGACCGTTTGAGGGAAATTTGAACGTCTTAGTGACGTTGGAATTCAGCGATCTTGGGCTTGTTGGATTCGTCTCGTTGAGTCGCTCGATTTGACTATAAGCACGTCATGTTTTGAAACCGTTTGGTAATCCAAATTGTGGTTTGAACCCTCCAACAACGTTTCAAACCCTGGATTTGGATCCATTTGGACTCAGATTGAGTTGATTTTGGTATCGTTGGGTTCGTATTTCTGAGACGCTCAGTTCGACTGTAAGTTTATTTTTATTTTGGAAGTTTCCAACTGTATTTTGCATCGAGATTCATGCCCGATCAGATAATTTTTCGACCACGTATCAATTATATATTATTTTTTTAATGAGAAGTTGATTCTTAGGTGCCGTTTAGTTTTGGTGTAGAGTAATTCAAATACAAGGATTTTGATAATTTGGGTGTTTGATTGGATTAAAAATAAATTCAAAATAAAATAAAACAAATGCAGTGTATTTTGTTATAGTTTCATTTTTTATGTATTTAGAATTCCTCAAATTTGGGCTATTTCAAAATGCATCTCAAACTCAAAGCATTGCTACCCCTTTCCGGCCACCTCTGCCCACCACCGACCATCGCAAACCGCCGCCGCCTCTCGCTTCCTCATTAGGGCTACCACGTTACCCACCAATCACCACCTCAAGCAGCAGCCGCCGCCGCCCCACGTCACAGCTAGTCTCTTTACTTAAAAAAATAAAAAAATTACGTCGCCTTAAAACCTTTACATTTATTTAAATAACTCCAAATTATTCCTTTTAATTGTATTTTTTACACTGTAAACCTTTTTTAGGCAATCAAAAAGTCGCCTTAATCCATTGCATAGGAGAAAATAGATTAATGTATTCGACCCCGTATAATTGGATAAAGACTTAATGTTATTCTATTATTTTTTTTTAAAATGGATTGATTCCATGTCTTAAATGCAAACATTTTTTAATTGAAAAGAAAATGCAAATTTAAATTTAAAATTTTCTTAGTTAAATGATATCATACAGTTATTATCCACGCTTAAACTAAAATATAGCTATCATTAGGGTCATGTTCTTAGTGGAGCGTCAATAAGAAGAAATCATACTATCTTGCTCAAGGAACATTTATTTATTTATTTATTTATTTATTTTATTTTTTTTGCTCAAGGAACATGAAGATTGAGCTTTAAGGGAAAAATTAAATAAAATTTGTGAAAAGCAAAATATTTATTTATTAAGTTGATTAATAATCTGTGCGCTATCTTATCAGAGTCGGCTTCGAGCAAATCCAATACAAAACACATTTGTAGGCTTGTAGGATGTGACGTAAGAACATGGGATGTTTTTGACAGATGTGATACTCCTCATCAAAATAATATTCGTCACCCATCTAGGCTTAGGATGATTAGTGAGCGAGTATCATTGGAAAATTTTTATTTCAGATTCAAATTTCTTCTATTATGACCTAGCCTCTTCAGTGGGATAAAATAAGTGTGGATCTGAATGTCTGATGTGGGTGGGTGGCCTTACTAAATTCTACTGAGGGATTAGTTATGCAATGAGAAGCTTCATTTGAAGTGATAGTAGGTAGATACCAGAGCCCTACATGGGGTCCTGGTTGGGTACCCACGCTCTACGCTGGCTAGTTTTGCCCACCCACACCCACCTACGGTGACTTTCCGGATGTCATATCCACCCACACCCACTCACTTTCCAAGCTTATTGAATGTAGTCTGTCATAGAATAATGGCCTTGAGATTTTTTGTCATTTTCTCTGACTGAAAATTTTCAAGCCACATATCAAAATTTATCATGGTCGTGACGCAGTTCAGTGTTGAGCACTGTGTAGTAAGGATTATTATAATATATTGCTTGTATATAATGATTAGTAATATAAATTGGTTCTCCTCTGATGTTGAGTACACACCCATACCCACCCACAAAATTATGGGCGTACCCATACCCACCCATGCCCATTGGGTATGGGTGGGTACGTGGGTGGGTGTGAATATGGGTATCCAATGCAGGGCTCTGGTAGATACACCATTCCAAATAATAATAATAATAATAATAATAATCCTTGCTTCTATCTCTTAAGTAGGAAAATTACTATATTTTCTGACTCCAAGGAAGATATAAAAATTCATTTATCTTCATGTGAATGAAAATTGATGTGTTTTTTTATGATTGGGATTTGAATGAAAAGCTATGTGTATATATATATATAACATAATAATAAGTAAACTGCCATAAATTTATGACTTTTATTTTCTTCTATTTTCATTTATTTGTCATTTTTGGCAAATTATAGTTGTCCATACTTTTGTTTTTTAAGTATTTCAAAGATTTGTTGATTGTGTAAAAAGAGAATCGTTCGTAAAATATTAGTTTAATTAATAATAATAATTTGATTTTCTTTTTAGTTATTTGGTTGATTTTTGTTTTTATAAAATAAATTAAAATTATGTTTGAGATGGTTGCAAAGTTAAATAAAGCTCATAGTGAAGTTGTAGAGAAACAAATTAGCTATTTTAGTTGAAAAAAAAAGACTTTCTTATTGCATATTTTTTTTAAAAAAAAATGTAATAAAAAATAGTAATAAAAAAATAGTAGTCAAATGAAATTGTAGTTGTTTAATAAAAATAAAACAGCTAAAAAGTTATCTCAAATAGATCCTAAATCAATAGAATTTTTTTAAATAACAAATTAATAAAATTATATAAATAAGTGGCATAAAAATCACCGTGAATAAAATCATAAATTATAATAAATATTATTTAGTTTTTCTAATGTATACTTGTTATATCATCAAAAAATTATCTTGATCGTACACGAATCTCGAGGCAAAAATCAAGTTGGAAACTTAAAAATTAAATATGGGATCATCTCAACACTGATTTCAACGAACTTATAGTCGAACTAACCGTCTCTGAAATACAAACCCAATGAAACCAAATTCAACTCAATCCGAACCCCAAATGGGTCTGAATCAAAGACCTGTAGCGTTGTTGGTAGGTTCAAACCACAATTTGGATTATCAAGTAGTTTCAAAACATGACATGCTTATAATCGAATCGAGCGGCTCGACGAGACAAATCCAACAAGCCCAAGATCGTCGAATTCCAATATCATTAAGATATTCAAATGTCTGATGAACGGTCCATAATCAAGGAATTCAATATCGACCGTCCATCCAAACCACTCCCCATTTTCTCTTGATCCTCCTCCTATTTTACGGGTCATGCCATCCTCACAAAATTATAAATATCCCCTCATTTCTCTTAATAGGGAACTCAAGCAAGAAGAAGAATAAGAGTGAAAGATCTCCTCCTCGACCACCGCCGGAGTTCCGCCCAACTTTCAAGTGACGCCGAAACTCCATCTAATCTCCAAGTGACGCTGAAACTCTGCCCGATCTCCAAGTGACGCCGGAATTATGTCCGATCTTCAAGTAACTCTAGAGTTTTGCCTTAATACGATCTAACGTCGGAGTTCTCCCCGGCCGCTAACGTTGGACTTCTACCCTGACGCTGGACCTCCGCTCGTCGTCAAATTTCTACTCGACGCCGGACTTCTGCCCATTGAAAACTCTGCTTCATCAAAATTTTAACCAAATTTATCGAATTAAAGTTCAATTCATTTTAATATTTTTTCGAAAAATATTTTGATTAGTTCAAATTTATGAATTCAACAGCTAAAATCAATTTAGTTAGTTAATTTAAATATCAAATAATTTAAATTCATCAAATACACGTACACGTACGGTACACCTCTATTCCCTCTAAGTAGAAGAATTTGGTTCTTCAGATTACCATTTGTTCTTTAGTTAAAGCGAGTCAATCAATTATATTAGAAGACTATAGTAACCAGGAAGCTCGTCAGTTTACTTGATCATGACTCCTCGTTTATAGTTTCTTATGTGGGAAATTTTAAATAGAGGCATTTCTTAAACGGAGATAAAAGTTCCAGATTGTCATAAATCTCCCTAGGCAAAGATAACATGATCTCAATCAAGGAATGCTACTGCAATATAATATATCTACCTGACCAATCAAATTAAGATTTTGTTTGGGACGACTTTGTTACTGCTTATTAGTGTTTTAGTAAAAAAAAAATATACTAAAAAACTGTTTTAGAAGTCAATAAAGTAGTGTCTCAAACTAAAATCTAAGATTTTTTTTGGACGACTTTTTTGCTGCTTTCTACAACTGTTTTCTAGTATAAAAAATTTTATAATAGAAAGCTGATTTAGAAAGCATTAAGAGATTGTGTTGTAAAGTGAGTTAGTGATTGTGGTTTGCTCGAATGTTAAATTTAAAAAAAAAAAAAAAAAAAAAAAAAAAAAAAACTTTTTATGATTGTGCTTGCATCTTCAATCATTTTAACTTAGATGAGTGTGCACGAAATTTCATCAACATGAGAGATTATCTTTAGTCCACAAGGCTTTTCAAAATGTTTCAATCTCAACAATGGAGAAAAAGGATTCATGTAGCCGACCCCACGTAGTGGGATAAAGGCTTGATGTTGTTGTTGTTGTTGTAATGTATACTTGTTATATCATCAAAAAATTATATTGATCGGACACGAACCTCGAGGCAAAAAATCAAGTTGGAAACTTCAAAAATTAAATATGGGATCATCTCAGCACTGATTTCAGCAAACTTGTAGTCGAACTAAGTGTCTCGGAAATATAAACCCAACGAAACCAAATTCAACTCAATCTGAACCCAAACGGGTATGAATCAAAGACCTGAAGCGTTGTTGGTAGGTTCAAACCACAATGTGGATTATCAAGTGGTTTCAAAACATGACATGCTTATAATCGAATCGAGCGGCTCGACGAGACAAATCCAACAAGCCCAAGATCTTCGAATTCCAATATCATTAAGATATTCAAATGTCTGATGAACGGTCCATAATCAAGGGATTCAATATCAACCGTCCATCCAAACCGCTCCTCATTTGCCCTTGATCCTCCTCTTATTTTACGGGTCATGCCATCCTCACAAAACTATAAATATCCCCTCATTTCTCTTAATAGGGGACTCAAGCAAGAAGAAGAAGAAGAAAAGAAGGGAAAAATCTCCTCCTCGGGACGCCGAAACTCCGTCTGATCTCCAAGTGACGCCGAAACTCCGCCCGATCTCCAAGTGACGCCGGAGTTTTGCCTTAATACGATCTAACGTCGAAGTTCTCCTCGGCCGCTGACTAACGTTGTGTGAAGTCCAGTTTTTCTTGTTTTCATTCCAGGATAGTCCGGGATGAAATTGGATCGTCTGGGACGATCAGCACAAAATCTGTGGACAGAGAGGTTCGTCCCAGGATGAAATTTGGTTCGTCTGTACGAAATTTGTCCAGAGAGCAAGTCGTCCATGAACGAATACACCTCGTCTGAACAAAATTCGTCCAGAGGGCAAATCGTCCCGGGACGAATACACTTCGTCTGGGACGATCTGCATGTGTATATATTGGATTGAGATCTTTTTGAAGAGAGAGAAAAGCCCATGAGAGAGAAAAACGAAGGAAAAAGTAGATAAAGTGATTTTTGGGCGACTTCGGTCCATTTTCATCCGTCGCCGTAGTTGGGAAAGTTGCTCGACTCGAGGTATGGCACATTATGCCTTTCTTTATTTTCAAAAATGTGAATTTTGACAGCTTTTCTATTTCAAATTCGATTTCCGTTAGCGAAAATCTGGTATCATTTTGTTCTGGTAAACTTTTTACAGCATAACTTTTGATATATTTCTGAGTCGATATTTTTGCATGTTTTGAGTATTTTTTGGAAGATTTTAACCGGGTATTTCGAATTCTACGGAGTTTTTCTCGAATAGCAAATTATCTGGATGTTGAAAATATTTGCTTCAATACAATGAAAGTCTTGAAATGATGTTTTATGCTATCTGTGGTAATTTGGAAAATTTCTGAAATTGTGAATTCTGTGAAATTTCCGTATACTGCCGTTATGCCGCTGACGACTTTTTCGGCTATAATCCATTTTTTTCTGATTTGAATGTTTTGATGTGCTGTGATGTGAGAATGGAGTTATAAGGGGACGGAATCATTTGCGATTACGTTGTCTGGGTCTGGAAATCTGAAAATAAGTTATGTTCTGAAAATTCTATATATCTAATATGTTCTGGTGCTGTAAGCACAAAGGGATGCATATGGGGCCGAAATCCTTTGAGATTCTGTTGTCAGGGTCAGGGAAGGGAGGCATAAGGAGCCTGAATCTGTTGAGATTCTATCAGGGTCAGGGATATGTGATATCAGATATGTGATATGTGATTTGAATGTTTTTCTGAAATATGTTCTAATCTTAATTTGTACGATTCTGTGATCTGTGATTAATCTGATTTGAATAATTCTGTTATGTGAAATGAATTCAGTTCTTCTATATCAGTTCTTTGATTTATGTTTGATTTCTATTTTATGTGAATTACTGTATTCTGTCGTATTTTCTGTACGATTATCTGAATTATGTACGGCTACTTGAATAAACTTTTCTGATGTATTTTTGGATGTGAGTTTCTGGAGATTTTGATTGGCTAGTGTAGTCTTGCGGAGCTGTTAGCTCATCCTTGTTATCTACGTGGTTTTTCAGGTTCTGGGAAAGGGAATGAAGTCTTAGACTAGCCGTTCATTGTCTGATCTGAGATTAGGTATTTTGTACTTTTAATTTTTGTACAGTCATGGCTTTTCTGTTCTATTCTATTCTTTTTGTCTGTAGCCATGCACTGTATTGTATATGATTATTTTGATGAAAGAAAAAAATATAGATGAACTGTTCTGTATATTTAGATGTTTATAGTAGCTCTATATTTTCTGTATGTATGTTTATTGGAAGAAAGTGAAGCAAATTCCAAAGCTAGATCCTAGATGTTTTCTTCGTCGTGACCCGATGCGATGGGATTCGTTCCGGTCGGGTTGGGTCGTGATAGAATTTAGTGGTATCAGAGCAGTTTTGGAATTTGGATTGTAAAATAGAGCAATAGAAATTGATCTGTATCGTCTGTCGGGGTAGTTTTGGTTTGTATGAATTTTTATTATCTTATTTTGTGTGCATAGTTGAATTTTGTGTGATTATGGATCTGCCAGACCTAGATATGACTGATGGGCAGAATGCTAGTCAGGCAGCTCTTGTGAATAGTACTGCCCCAATGGTTGGTTCTGATACAGTTTTGCAGTTTGCTACGTTGGTTGCTCAGATGATTAGCGAGACATAGAATATAGTATATGCTGTACGATTTGAAGATGTAGATAGACATCTACAAATGTTTCTGAGATTGAAGCCTTTGAGGTTTGAGGGCACTGTTTAGCCCAGAGCAGCAGAAGATTGGTTGATGAGGTTGGAAAAGACCTTTGATGGTATGCAATGTCCTCCGAATAGAAAGGTACCGCTAGTAATTTTTCTGTTGGATAATGAGGCAGAGCGCTGGTGGATGGGCTAGCAGGAGGAGAAATTCTAAAATAAACTGAACTCTCTGATTACTTGGAAAGAATTTTCTGAGGTATTTCGATCTTGGTTTGTACCCCCTTCTGCAAGACAACAAATGCATGAGACTTTTCTGAGGTTGGTTCAAGGGAGTAGGATGGATATGCAGTACGAGGCAGAGTTTACTGCTTTAGCCAGATATGCTCCACAGTTGGTAAGTACTTCTGTTAAGAAGTGCTATAAATTTCTGAGGGGACTACGAGATAGTCTGAGGCAACCCCTGGTACCGTCTCACATTTTAGATTTCTCTGAGCTTGTGGAGAGAGCTCGACTGACAGAAAATGATCTGATGGCTACTCAGCAGCGGTGGACTGCTAGTATGAAGAGATTTAGTAGTGATACATTTGGCAGTGATTTTTCTGGAAAGAAGAGATTTGTTTTTGGAGACTCCATGAGGAGTGGACAGTCAGGATCCACTATAGTTTTTTGTAGTGGCAGTGTGACCAATTCTGGGTCAGTCAGTGGGGCACCGGTGTGCCAAATTTATAGGCGAATATATTTTGGTCAGTGTTACAGGATGATTGGTCAGTGTTTCAGATGTGGTCAGCCATGACATCGGATTGCAGAGTGTCTACAAGCTGGATTTGATCGACGATCTGAGTCCAGATCTAAGAGTTTTTTTAGGCCTACTGGTATAACTGGAAGGCCGAGGATAGTTCCTCCCCTCACTATTTCTGAAGGATTATCCGGTAGAGCTGGTGGTTCGGGTTCTGTGGTAAGGAGATCACCTAGTGGTAATCAAATGGAGCCTACTAGTTATGTAGCTCTAGCTCCAGTTCAGTCACGTGTGTACAGTTTGAATCAGCAAGAGGTTCGAGATGCTCCGGATGTGGTGATAGGTACGGTTTACATTTCTGAATATCCCTGTCGTGTTTAGTTTGATTATGGAGCCAGTAACTCATTTATTTTTTTAGCACTGTTTTGATGCTTTGCACCTGGATTCTATTTTTTTGCCTATTTCTCTTTCCGTCCTATTGCCGGCTGAAAATAATTTGATTGCTCGGAAGTTTTATTTTTATGAGTTTGATATTTTTGGCAAGAAGTGAAAATCGTGTTTGATTTTATTATCGATTTCTTCGTATGACGTGATTTTAGGTATGAATTAGCTCAGTCTGTATGAGACTCAGATTGACTGTTTGAAGAAATAAATTAGTTTATTTGTGGATGGTGAGAAGTGTGTATTCCAAGGGTTAAGAGGTGTTTTATCCTGTTTGATTTCTGTGTTGGAAGTCAGAAGAATGTTGAAGAAGGGTTGTACGGTGTTTTTGGCTTCAGTACGGGATATGAATATAGATGCGGGTTTTATTTCTGATATCCCGGTTGTACGATATTTTTCATATGTTTTTCCTGAGGAGTTGATTGGTTTACCTCCGGATAGAGATGTTGAGTTCTGTATTGATGTATTTTCGGGTACGGCTCTGATATCTAAAACTCCGTATAGTATGGCACCAAAGGAACTTGCAGAGTTAAAAGTTCAGCTCTAGGAATTGGTGGATAGAGGATTTGTTCGTCCTAGTATTTCTCCTTGGGGAGCACCTGTTCTTTTTGTGAAGAAGAAGGACGGTACAATGCGTATGTGTGTTGATTACAGATATTTGAATAAAGTTACAATCAAGAATAAGTATCTGTTGCCACGGATTGATGATTTGTTTGATCAACTTGCTGTATCTTCTATGTTCTCAAAGATTGATTTGATATCATGATACTATCAGGTGAAGGTGAATAAAGTTGATGTGATGAAGACAGCTTTCGGTACTCGGTACGGGCACTATGAGTTTTTTATTATGCTAGTTGGAGTAATCAATGCACCTGCTGTTTTTATGGATCTGATGAACAGAGTGTTTAAGGAGTATCTAGACAAGTTTGGGATTGTCTTTATAAATAATATTCTGGTATATTTTGCTTCTGAGAAAGATCATGCTAGATATTTGAGAAGTGTATTGGAGACTTTGAGGCAACACCAGTTGTATGCAAAATTTTCCAAGTGTGAATTCTGGCTGAAGAACATTTCTTTTCTAGGTCATGTGGTGAGCGGTGAAGGTATTTCTGTTGATCCCCAGAAAATTCAGGCAGTTGCTAATTGGCTAAGGCCTACGATGGTATTTGAGATACGTAGTTTCTTAGGTATGGTCAGATATTATAGAAAGTTTGTGAAGGAATTTTATCATATTTCTGCACCTCTGACGAGACTAACTTAGAAGTCAGTAACTTTTGTTTGAACACCGGAGTGTGAAACTAGCTTTCAGAGATTGAAGGATTATTTGACTTCTACTCCAGTGTTAGCACTTCCATCTAGTACAGAAGGATTTCAGGTATTCAGTGATGCTTCACTGAAAGATTTGGGTTGTGTTCTGATGCAACATGGTCAGGTAATAGCTTATGCTTCAAGATTTGGCGTCATTATTTGTATGACGTCAAGTGTGAGATCTTCACGGATCATAAGAGTTGAAGTACATATTCACTCAGAAGGATCTGAATTTGAGGCAAAAAAGATGACTTGAGTTGATCAAGGACTATGATCTGACGATTCAGTATCAGCCTGGTAAGGCTAATGTGGTAGCAGACACTCTAAGCAGGAAATCCTCTGTACTATCATGTGTTTAGCTCACTTCTGATGAATAACTGATACGAGACATGGAAAGATAAAAACTTGAGGTAATTTCCCCTACTAGTCTGGATTCTGGTATTTTGACTCAGATAAACATTTAGTCTTCTTTGGAAGAGAAGATTTAGGAAGCTCAGAAGTCAGACTCTGAATATTTAAAGTTGATAGCTCAGGATGAGTCTAATAAAAACACCTGAACTACGAATTTCTGATTATGGTATCATTTTCTGTATTAATAGGCTCTAGATTCATATGTTTGGAAATCTGAGGAAAGAGCTTTTGCATGAAGCTCCTTATTCAGGTTATATTATTCATCCAAGAAGTGGTAAGATGTACGGAGATATGAAAATTTTATTTTGATTTCCTGGAATGAAAAAGGATATAGCGGAGTTTGTTTCGAAATGTGAAGCCTGTCAGTTAATGAATGCATAGCATTAGCGACCATGAGGTCTTTTGCAGTCGTTGTCTATCCCTGAGTGGAAGTGGGAGGAGGTAACGATGGATTTTGCTATTGGTTTTCCTCGATCAAGGCAATGACATGATGCTATTTGGGTGATTGTCGATAGATTGATGAAGTCTACACATTTTCTTCCGATCAGACAGACGGATCCAGTAGATTAGTTAGCTCATATCTATGTTAAAAAAATTGTCATATTACATGATGTGCCAAAAGTAATTGTATCTGATCGAGATGGACGGTTTACTTCCAGACTTTGGAAAGGTATTCAACAATGATTGGATACGAAGTTGCATTTCAGTACGATTTTTCATCTGCAGACTGATGGACAGTCTGAGAGGACTATTCAGGTATTGGAAGATCTTCTAAGGTTATGTGTTTTGGATTTTGAAGGCAGTTGGGAAGATCATATCTCATTGATAGAATTTGCATACAATAACAATTATCAGTCCAGTATTGATATAGCACCTTACGAAGCTCTATATGGCCGAAAGTGTAAAACGTCATTGACTCTAACTGAGATAGGAGATAGACAGGTAATGGGTTTCAACTTTTGTAGATGAAACTGTTACGAAAAATACCCTAATTAAAAAAAGATTGAAAGCTGCACAAGACAGACGACAAAAGTATTACAATCAGAAGAACAGATTTGTTGATTTTCAGGTTGGTGACTTTGTGTATGTCAAAGTCAGATCGATGAAAGGCGTCAGTAGATTTGGAAGAGTGAGCAAGCTCAGTGTGAAAGCCATTTTTTCCTTCCAGGATCGTCTCGGACGAAGTGGGATCATCCGGGACAATCAGTACAGAATCAGGTGACAGAGAAGTTTGTCCCAGGACAAAATTTGGTTCATCCGTACGAACTTTTTCCAAAGAGCAAGTCGTCCGGGAACGAATACACTTCGTTCTAAACGAAATTCGTCCAGAGGACAAATCGTCTATGGACAATTTGGAATCGTCCCGTACGATCTATTCAGCTATATATAGGATTGAGATATTTTTGAAGAGTGAGAAAAGCTCAGGAGAGAGAAAATCGAAGGAAAAAGGGAGAAAATGGTTTTTGGGCGACTTCGATCCGTTTTTGTCCGTCGTCATAGTTGGAAAAGTTGACTAACTCGAGATAAGACACATTCCGCCTTTCTCAATTTTCAGAAACATGAATTTTGACGACTTTTCTGTTTCAAATTCGATTTCCGTTAGGGAAAATCTGGTATCATTTTGTTATGGTAAACTTTTTACCGCATAACTTTTGATATATTTCTGACATGATATTTTTACACGTTTTGAGTATTTTCTGAAAGATTTTCACCGGGTATTTTGAATTCTACGGAGTTTTTATCGAATAGCGAATTATCTTGATGTTGAAAAAATTTGCTTCAGTATAATGAAAGTCTTGAAATGATGTTTTCTGCTATCTGTGATAATTTGGTAAATTTCTGAAAGTGTGAATTCTGTAGAATTTATGTATACTGTCGTTATGCCGCTGACGATTTTTCTGATGTATTCCGATTTTTCTGATTTGAATGTTTTGATGTGCTGTGATATCAGAAGGGGTTTATAAGGGGCCAGAATCCTTAGAGATTCTGTCTGTGTCAGGAAAATCTAAAAATAAGTTATGTTCTTAAAATTATGTATATCTAACAAGTTCTGGTGCTATAAGCACAAGAGAGTTATAAGGGGTCAGAATCTGTTGGGATTCTGTCTGTGTCAGGGAAGGGAGGCATAAGGTGCCAGAATCCTTTGAGATTTTGTCTGTGTCCGGGAATCTAAGATGTGTTATCCGATATGTGAATTGTGATTTTATCTGATTTGAAATCTGATTTGTACGATTCTGTCTGTTTTGTACGATTTTGTTTGTTCTATACGATTCTCTTTATTTTGTGAGTACTATTCTGTTTGTTCTGTGAAATCTGACCTGAATATTCTATTATATGAAATGAAATCCGTTAGTGGTTTGATTTCTGTTTGATCAAGTATCTGTATTCTGTCTGCTTATACGATTTCTGTACGATTATCTGAGTTATATACGGCTACTCTTCTGATGTATTTTCTGATGTGTGTTTCTAGAGATTTTGATTGGCTGGTGTAGTCTTGCTGAGTTGTTAGATCATTCTTGTTATCTACGTGATTTTCAGGTTCTGGGAAAGGGAATGAAGTCTTGGACTAGCCGTTCTGTGTCTGATCTGAGTTTAGGTACTTTTGTACTTTTGATTTTTGTACAATCATGACTTTTCTGTTATGTTCTTTCTGTTTGTAGCCATGCACTGTAATGTACTTGATTATTTTGATGAAAGAAAGAAGAAAATATAGATGAACTGTTCTGTATATTTGGACGTTTATAGTAGCTCTTTGTTTTCTGTATGTTTGAGATTTGGAAGAAAGTCTGAAGCAAATTCCAAAGCTAGATCCTGGATGTTTTCTCCGTCGCGATCTGATGTGATGGGATTTGTTCCGGTCGGGTTGGGTCGTGACACTCAGTCCAAGGTATGTCGGACCTTTTGAAATCATCGAAAGGATTGGAAATTCTGCTTATAGATTGTTACTGTCAGATCATATGTCTGATATACATAATGTGTTTCACGTATCCTCTTTGAGAAAGTGGATATCTTATTCTGAAAAGAAAATTTCTGTTGATGATGTGGAGATTCAGGAGAATCTGCAGTACAAAGAAGAGTCTAAAAAGATTTTGGCTTATGAGGTGCGCAAGTTAAGAAGTAAACAAACCCGATGGTTAAGATTCAGTGGAAGTACAGAACAACAAGAAAGGCTACTTGGGAGAAGGAGTCGGATATGAGACAGTTATATCCGAGTCTATTCTGACTCAGTTTTATTTTGGAAATGTCGAGGACGACATTGTTCTGAAGGTAGGGAGATTGTGAAGGCCAGTTTTTTTTTGTTTTCCTTCCAGGATCGTCCGGGATAGGTGGATTATCTGGGACGACCAGTACAAAATCTATGGACAAAGAGGTTCGTCGCAGGAAGAAATTTGGTTCGTCTGTACGAAATTTGTCCAGAGAGCAAGTCGTTCATGAATGAATACACCTCGTCTGAACTAAATTTGTCCAGAGGACAAATCGTCCCGGGACGAATACACTTCGTCCGGGACGATCTGCATGTGTATATATTGGATTGAGATCTTTTTGAAGAGAGAGAAAAGCCCATGAGAGAGAAAAACGAAGGAAAAAGGAGAAAAATGATTTTTTGCGACTTCGGTCCGTTTTCGTCCGTCGTCGTAGTTTGGAAAGTTGCTCGACTCGAGGTAAGGCACATTCTGTCTTTCTCTATTTTCAGAAATGTGGATTTTGACGATTTTTCTGTTTCAAATTCGATTTTCGTAAGCGAAAATTTTGTATCATTTTGTTATGGTAAACTTTTTACCGCGTAACTTTTACATATTTTGAGTATTTTCTGGAATATTTTCACAGAATATTTTGAAGTCTACGGAGTTTTTCTCAAATAATGAATTATCTTGATGTTAAAAATATTTGCTTCAGTACAATGAAAGTCTTGAAATGATGTTTTATGCTATCTGTGATAATTTGTTCTGAAATTGTGGATTATGTGGAATTTTCGTATACTGCTGTTATGCTGCTAACGACTTTTTCGGATGTAATCCAATTTTTTTCTGATTTGAATGTTTTGATGTGCTGTGATATCGGAAGGGAGTTATAAGGGGTCGGAATCCTTTGCGATTCCGTTGTCTGGGTCCGGAAATCTCTGAAAATAAGTTTTGTTCTGAAAATTATGTATATTTGATCTGTTCTGGTGCTGTAAGCACAAATGGAGACATAAGGGGCCGGAATCCTTTGAGATTTCGTTGTCAGGGTCAGGGAAGGGAGGTATAAGGGGCCAAAATCTGTTGAGATTCTGTCAGGGTCAGGGATATGTGATATGTGATTTGAATGTTTTTCTGAAATATGTTCTGATCTTGATTTGTATGATTCTGTGATCTGTGATTAATCTGATTTGAATAATTCTATTATGTGAAATGAATTCAGTTCTTCTGTATCAGTTCTTTGATTTCTGTTATGTGTGAATTCATGTATTATATCGGATTTTGTGTACGATTATCTGAATTCTGTACGGCTACTTGAATACACGTACACCTCTATTCCCTCTTAAGTAGAAGAACTTGGTTCTTCATGTTCCCATTTCTTCTTTAGTTAAAGCGGCTCAAATACTCAATCAATTATATTATAAGACAATAGTCACCAGGAAGCTCGTTAGTTTACTTGATCATGAGTTTATGACTCATCGTTTATAGTTTCTTATGTGGGAAATTTTGAATAGAGGCATTTCTTAAACGGAGTTAGAAAGTTCCAGATTGTCATAAATCTCCCTAGGCAAAGATAACACGATCTAAATCAAGGAATGCTACTGCAATATAATATATCTACCTGACCAATCAAATTAAGATTTTGTTTGGGACGATTTTCTTACTGCTTCTTAAACTAGTGTTTTAGTTAAAAAAAAATTTTAAAAAAATGTACTAAAAAACTGTTTTAGAAGGCAATAAAGAAGTGTCTCAAACTAAAATCTAAGGTTTTTGTTTGGACGGCTTTTTTACTGCTTTCTACAACAACTGATTTAGAAAGCATTAAGAGATTGTGTTGTAAAATGAGTTAGTGATTGTGGTTTTCTCGAATGTTAATTAAAAAAAAAAAAAAACTTTTTATGATTGTGTATGCATCATTCAATCATTTTAACTTAGATGATTGTGCACGAAATTTCATCAACATGAGAGATTATCTTTAGTCCACAAGGCTTTTCAAAATGTTTCAATCTCAAAATAATATTTTTCAAGATCTCAGAAGTGCATGTAACTTTATCTTCCAATATGTCTAGCCTTGGACAGGAATTTTAGATCAAATTAATTTGAATGGATGTTAATAATTTTTATTGTGTAACTTTTGATATTATCTTATTTTTATGTTTCTACACATTTTTATATGTTATATTAAAAATTTAGCATTACTTTATATTCCTACAACATTTAATTATATTTTATTGTGAGATGTTCTGACAAGTTTAAAATATACATTGTTATGCCATAGTATATATAATTAATGAACATAGTACTCATTGTATTACCTATTATATTTAGTATGTACTGTATAAAATACATGCATACTTATGATAGCTATATATTTTGTTCTTAGTGGGCTCATACGCACTATTTGAAGCTCTACGCATGATCTTACGCATATTGAAAATGATTCTATGTGATATTGTTATTGTTCATGTGTATTGATTTCGCTTGCCTTAAGTTGCCAACTACTAGACTTAGACTTACGATCTATTTGGGATGGTTTTAGTTCTTTCCTATAAATCTAGCTAATTAAGGGTAATTGTAAACTAATTGACAGTCAATTAGTCCTAGGAGTGGACAAAAAAACATCAACTAAACTGAAAAATCAAAGCATAGGAAAAGTTTGATTAGAACAGTAAAGTTCAATTTGGTATGTTTAAGATTTTAGCTAATAAATCAGCTTTATATGATTTGATTTAAGTTTGAATTTTATGGTTTCATACATTTGGGTCTACTTTTTTATTATTTCTTAAAGCAGCTTTCTAACCCAAATTTTTATTTTTTGTACTGAAAAAGTAGCTTCAAGAAGTTGTAACAAAGCCGTCAGGCTACATTTGAGACAACTTTCTTACTATTTTATATTTTATAAAGTAGTTGTTATAAAATATTTAAAGAAAAAAAATTGATGCAGAAAGCATTTTACTAGCACAAACAAATCTTTTGGAGCATTGGTGAAATAGAAATTATGATTGAGGCATGAAAATCAAAATGATAAGAAAGATGTTTCAAACGAAGCCTTAAACATTTTGATTTTAGATTGTAGTTTTTACAACTTGGTTATGTTCAATTTCAGATTTAATTTTATTTAGAATCAAATTGAATCATGCCCATTACAATATTCAACCCAATCACCAAAACTTGGGCTTAAGAAATTAGACTTGGGGCATGGCACACTTCAAGCCCGAATCCAACCTGACCCAATCCTGTTCCAAGTTGAGTTGGGCCACAAAAAAGTATATAACTAAGGCCTACGTCAACCCGAAAACCCTAAACTAAACAGGTTGAACACCACCCAGTCCAACCGAAAGGAAATTTGAAATAGGCCCAAAAAAGAAGCATGATTGTAAAGTCAATCAGGCCTAGCTTAAGCCTGCCTATTGAGACCCAGCCTGAGCACAAGCCCATGGACGGGCAAATTTGAAGACATCTCCAATTACTTCAATTTGATCCAAATTTAGTCCACTTCAAGATTAATAGTCAACTTATTGGCATTTATCAACAAAAAAATTGATCTGAAACGTAGCTTATTTTGATCTGTAGGTTCAGAATTTTGGCAAATAATTAAGAGATTAGAAGTTTGCATATATGATGTATATATAAATCTGACTTAATGACAGAAATGTAAAAAAAAAAATAAAAAATCTGATTTCTGAACGATGTTGAATCCTTCAACCAAATTCACAATATTAATTGCTGAATGGCCAGCAAGTTGGAACCCCTTATCCGTAAGGCATAAATACTATTGTTGTTAAATTGAAAATTCAGCAAGTTCTGACAACTATATCACACAAGACAATTAGCAATCAACTATAAGACATTAGAGAACACCAGCATAGCAGCATAGAACAACACATCAAGCTCGCACGACGCCAAAAAAAAAAAAAACAAAAAAAAAAAAACAACCCAGACCCTAAATCTCCAAATGAAACCCTAATTTTCCGAACTAACCTCTTTGGCCGCTACCCTTTCTCCGCCTGAATCGTTTCTCATCATCTTCTTAAACTCATCATAATTCACACATCCATCGCCATCAGAATCCACGGAATCGATCATCTGTGAGCAATCATGAGAAGAGCATCTCTCCCCCAGTTTCTTGAGCACCAGATGCAACTCCTTTACCGAGATCAGGCCGTTCCCGTCCATATCGTAGATATCGAATGCGTCCTTGATATCCTCCTCCCCCCTCACCGGCCCGTCACCGGCGCGGTTGAAGCGGGTAAATTCACCGAGATCAACGAACCCGTCCTGGTTGGCGTCCATTTCCTCGATCATGGACCTTAGTTCTTCGTCGGAGACATTGGATCCGAGGGCGCGCACAACATTTCCGAGCTCTGAGGCTGATATCTTCCCGTCGCCATCGGCGTCGAAGCGATTAAATACCTTTTCTACCTCTTCCATGTTCCGAATCCCAGCTGGTGCTTTCTCCATTCCTTCAGTTCAGTTGTATTATTTCTTGTGAGATTGGCTTTGTGCTGGATGGATATAAATAGGGAATTTTTGAAGAGAAGGTTACCTGCTGAGCATTTTAAAAACAAATAAATTAATTAAAAATAAATATCTTCTGTTCAACGCGTTGCGGACGCGTTGCATGATCGACAAAGCCGAAAGTGAAAGTAAAATAAAACAAAATAAAGGAAAAAAGGAAAAAGTTACACGAGGCGCTTCGGGATGCTCCTCGTGATGCCACGTGGATGTCGGCAGAGGGTTGGCGCCGGCATAAATTGTACAGACACGTGTCACCTTGAGATTGACGGATGCTGTGGTGGTGCTCCATGACGGATATAGAATTTTATTTTGACTTTTTCATTTTTGTTATGACTTATCTTAATGGAACTATTTTTGCTTTTGTTTATTGCGTAGTGATATTTTAAAGCATTTTGTTTCATAATAAATTTAAACGGTTTTTTAATTTTATCCTGAAAAAATTGAGGGTGGCACATAAACATAAAGTTTAGCGTCATAGCCTTACAAGAATATCCAACACACAAAGAAAAAAATAAGTAGAGATGCAGTGTTTATAAGAGGTACCAAAGTTTTTACATTAAACCTCTAAAAAAGAGGAAAAACTATGGGGTTTTATCTGTTTGAATGAATCCACTAGTGTTTGCACTTGATTACAATTGAGGCATTTCTTTGAGGGGAAGGCCTTCATTCAACGTGGCCAATATACATCACGTACAATGCTTTACATGGTGAAATTTGGAAGTATAAGTGTTGACATGTTTATTTGGTCAGCTGAATCATAACTGGTGGACGATGTTAGTTTAAGGGAATGTAGTCGGCAAATACGGTGGTAGGAAGAATTGAAGTTGGCAGGCGACTGAGGTCAGAAGAATCATAGTCTGGCATTGATAGTCGGAGAGATCGTAAATGGTGGGTGATGGAGGTCGGAAGAATTGTAGTCAGACGATGATGGTCAAAGAGATCGTAGCTAGCTTAGTACTGGTGATTGGGTAAACTGTAAATTGCAGGAGATGGAGGTTAATTGGAAGAGCCGTAGTCAGACGATGGTGATCATAGAGACTGTAGTTTGGCATTGATGGTCATAGAGATTGTAAACGATGGGCAATAGAGATCGAAAGAATCATAGTCATGCAACGGTGGTCATAGAGACTGTAGTTGGTAGGTGAAAATATTTGGGAGGAGATACACTGTCAATAGCATCAACGAAGAGTTTTGGCACAAATCAGAGACCATACGGAAGTCCAATGATTGCTTATTGTTGGGAATAGATCTGGTGGCAGCCGATTAATGGGCAGAAGTCCAACGTCAGACAATGAACGGGCGAAAGTTTGGTGTTAGTCGAGAATAACTCTGATGATGGTCAAGAAGAAATCTGATGGCTGTTGGGAAGAACTCCAATGCGTGGTCGGGATGAACTTCAGCAATGGTCTGGGAGAACTCCGACGACGGTCGAGAAAAACACCAACGGTGGTCGATGACAAGAGAGCTCCGACAACGGTCATGAGAAACTCTGACGACAGTCGTGAAAAACTCTAGCAAATGTCGGGTGGAAATTTGACGGTGCTCGACGACATGTAAGCTCTCAAGTTCTTCCCTTTCCTTCCTATCTTTCATATGAGAAATTTTTATTTTTCTATATTATCCTGTATGTAGCAATTTTTGTAATGTTAAGTCTCAACCCAAATATATAAATAGCTGGCTCAGGTAAAATTCTCAGTTTATGCAATTTTCTATTCTCAAACTTATTTAATAAAAATCTCAAAGTTTCTCAGTAGAGAATTATTTGTTTTACCCTTTTTTTTTCCACTTAATATTCATAATATAGTTAGGATTCATAATATAGTTAGGTGTAATTTACGAACAATTATGAATTCAATGATATTAATAGTTGTAATATATGGCATTGACTTAAATTAAAAGTGAATAAACTTAAAGAAAATAAAGCAAAACTAAAAATACATAAATATTAATTTTAAAATTTATAACAATACAATTTTTAGCATGTATGTGATTCCTAGAACTTCCTATAAAATGAGGGTGAAGAGAAGAGAGGAATTTTTATTGCCTCCTCCCACCTTACGCATCTCTACGTTCGGTATACCTTCATAACGCGACATCTGACAGCAACTTTACCCGAAACCTGACCCAGCGATGATTGGGTATATGGCACGTGCGAAATTTAAAACTAATGGCCCGAGCAGCGGACCCGAATATTATCGCGCGGACCCAAAAAAACGGCTATGTTTTCGAACAAACCTTACCGTCTTTCACTTCAGTCATCATACGCTTCGATATACTTCATCTTCTCCAACCGGCGCTTCTGCTTCTTCCCTTTCTGCGAAGTTTCAAGCTCTGCATATTTTCTTTTACAATGCCTCAGTTTAGTTACTTCTTCAATATATATATGGTAGGGTTTATGAAGCGTATCCGAGTAGTATACCGAGCGGACCGCTCGGTATAGCTCGATATCGATCTGTTCCATGCTAGGTACTGCTCCGTGCTGAAGCGTATCCTAGTATACCGAGCGGTACTGCTCGGTATTGCTCGGTATAGCTCGGTATAGACGTGTTCCAAGCATAACTACTATGCTCGGTACTGCTCCGTGCTGCTCGGTAGGTACTGCTCGGTACAACTCGGTATTGAGCAGTATCGAGCAGAATTAGTAATAATTATGCTCGGCACTGCTCGGTGCTGCTCGGTATTGATCTGTACCAAGTAATGTTGCTAAATGTTATGCTTTTAACTGCTCGGTACTGCTCGGTATTGATCTGTACCGAGCAAAGTTGCTAATTGTTAAGCTTGGAACTGCTCGGTACTGCTCGGTTTAGATCTGTACCGAGCAAAGTTGCTAATTTTTATGCTTGGAACTGCTCGGTACTGCTCGGTATTGATCTGTACCGAGCAAAGTTACTGTTCGGTATTGCTTGTTATTGCTCGGTATTGCTCGGTATTGAGCGGTATTGCTCGGTACAACTGTGTACCGATATTGTACCAATCCATTATAATCAGTACCGAACGTATACGCATATATAATATAGAATACCGAGTTCGAAACAGTAAAACGTAGATAAAAACAAACAGTATACGTAAAATACTTACTAATATTAAGTCAGAAAAACCTTCGTCATAGCTTAAAGTTTGAGTTTCCTCGCAGAAAAAGAAGTCTTCGAAACAGGAACCTTCAGTCGATCCTTCCATCTCCTAAAATACTGAACTATTTCTTTACGTCAGATATATGAAAATTATGGGAACCGTAGACACTGTAGAACGATATCCTGTAGAACATCTTATGTTTAATACATAGAAGGTTTTAATACAATAGGTAAAAGCCGCGTACTTTTTCATTTTCCCGCCCTTCTCATATACATTACGACGGCCCAACCCGAATAATTTAAAAAAATATCGAAAAGTATATGGGCTAGCGTCGGGTCAAAATGGATAAAGTTGCTGCCAGATGTCGCGTTATGAAGGTATACCGAACGTAGAGATGCGTCAGGTGGGAGGAGGTAATAAAAATTCAGAAGAGAGAGCCTAAGCTCCACGAAAAGATTTTCTTAACTCCGAAAAATTATTACGTGCAGACTCCAATCACTTGAAGACATATAAATTTTTTTTTCTCTTATATAGAGACGAAAAGCTATGTTCCGTAACTCTTCTATTATAACCTCCAAAATAGTATAGTAATCTTAAATAAGAACTAGATATGCGTACTAAACTAAATGCTCTTTGTAATCTTAATTTTCTAACATTCTTCTACTTACCTTTACAACGAACATAACCAATCACCAATCAGTGTGAAATCGATAGGTGGCTGTCAACTGTCGTCACCTGCAAACTCTAGCGAGGAAGGACGACAGATTAGTGCAGACGTTAAATCTAAATCGGATACAGATGGTAATCGTCATGTTGGCAATTGTAAGGAGGCAAGAGAAAAAAGTCAAGAAATTCATGGATTTGCAGAGCATTGGCATGAACAAATCAAGGCATATCTTGATTGATTTAGTAGATTTGGGCCCTGCGATAATGGATTCGGGGAGGAATCCGAGCGAGACGAATGACTGCGGCTGAGTTGGCCGGATTTGTGATTGTGACTTGTTAGAGGAAGCTCTCCAAAGCGCGATCGATGTGAGATCTATGAAGAGGCAAAGGCAGTGAACATGGATAGGAGAATCGAAGAGGATCCCAACGGATTTGAGCTTGGAAGAGGAAACTTAGGTTATATCTTGATTAGGGTTGGATTGGCATTAGCATAAATGGAGAGGAACAAGCGGGAAGCGGATTTGGCGAAGCTTTGGAGGATTTGCGTCTGAATAGTGTAAATGGTGAGATGACGAGATTTGGCACTGTGAAGGTGTCAAAGAAGTCATATTTAGCATTTTTACTTTCTTTTTTAAGTTTTTAAATGTCAGAAAAAATAATAAAGTCAAAATAGATCAAGTTAGAGGTGTAAGCGAGTGAAGTCGGTTTGAGCTCGGCTCAATAAATGGCTCGTGAGCTGAGCTAGATGAGTTTACGAGCAAAGATTTAGCTAGCATCGACTTGACTCGTTAGCACGCGAGCCGGTTTGTTTAAAAAAATTGAATATAAAATATATTAAAATTCAAGATTTTAAGTATCAAGTCATTAAAAATTTTTAAAAGATATATCTTACTTTTATTATATTAAGTGATTATTTATTTATTTATTTATTTTAATAAATTGTCATTCTTTTTATCATTTTTTTAAATAATTGCTAAAATTATAATCATTAATTTCTCCCATTTGTAATACGCGAGCAGGCTCTTGAGCCTACTTGAACTCATAGAATAAAGCTCGAGTTCAAGCTTGAACTCGATTAATTAATCAAGTTCGTCATGAATGACTCGAACTCAACTTGACTCATTTACTCTCTAATTAGCTCCATCAAAGAATGACCAATCAGATGTTTTTGAACGGAACTCATTTCAAATAATTTTTATGAGAATGTATTGGAATTTAAAGAGATCATTCTTATTGTGCTTTTAGATAAAATTTTGTACATTCTTTATTTGGTTTTTTTCAAAAACATGTCTTTAATTATTTTTAATAGAGTATATTTAAATTTAAATTTTTTTATTGCGCTTTTAAATAATATTCGGTTAAAATTTTGATTTTTGGTTAAAAAATTATGACATGAAATATTCTATATTTGCATCTAAGCTGTGATTTTGTAAATTCTTTATGAAGATTTACAGAAATACAGACACATAAGCATCATAATTTCATTTGGGCTAAGCATGCTAGAGGTCCAATACTTATTATCGCTTATGTTTTGGGCCATTGACCAGGCCCAACAGTACACTTATACTTTGGTATTTGATGAATTGATGCAGGATTAATACCGAACCCACTTTAGTGGATATTTCAGTAAAACAGTAATAAATTTTTTTTTTAATATAAATACGTCTCTCTTAATTATTAAAAATATTATATTCTTTATAAAATTAGGACAAATGTGATGTTAAAGAACTTGTATTGCACCGATCTATAAAGCTGCAAATGAACTGAATGTTAGACAAGCTTATTCATGATTGTTTGAATGAGTAAACAAACAAATTTGAACATTTTTATAAATATTTTATGGTTAAATAACCAAATTTGAATAATTATGTGTGTTGGCTTGTTCATGTTCAAGAAAAATATCATTTGAAGCTGTTGAATATGTTGATGATACGAGGCTTAATAAGAAGCTTGTTATAAAATTTGATTTATGTTTAATAAAAAATAGTGATCAAGCTTGTTTATAAGTAACATTTTGAAATTAAATACATTTCTTAAGATTAGCTTAAATCTTTATTTGATATATTTTGATAGAATTTTTAATTTCACAAGCTTGTTCCTTTAAAAGATTCTACTATAAGTATTTCTTAGTAGGTTCGATAAAACTTATTGGTTAAGTTAATGAATATATAGAATGTAAAGCTCATTAATTGTACGATGATGCTCGTTTGTTAAAGCTCAATAAACATAAACCGACTAAAAATCAAATACAAGCATCAATCATTTTAAACAAACTAAGTTTGAACACAAATAAAAAACTTTAATAAAATTTGAGCTGAACTTAAACAAATTGATTGTACATAAGTTTGTATATGAACTAGCTCTTGTTTGGCTCAACTTAGATTTGTTTGCAGCCCTAATGGAATGGAAACATGAAATTATTAATTTTTAAATACTATACGCCTTTTAATTTTGAAATTATAGCAAAAATGATTTTATTATGTAATGTATTGTATGGAATGTACATTTTTGGTGTTTGAATTTCATGTCTTTTGGATTTAAATTCAATCTCGAATTCACGAGAAATAATTCTGTGCAGAGGCTGAACATAACTCTATGTCGGGAGACGAATAAGGTGTAACCATGCTAGCAGTATTGACCCATAAAACTATACCGAGCCACGATATTAAAGAAAAAAAAATAATATTACACATTTTAATTAGTCCCCCCCATAATAATTTTTCCGGATCCACAGCCCATCATTAAGCCGCTTCTCCCTCTGGATAAGGAATTCTGGAGAATAGGTCCGAATCACGACTTGCATTCGGACCGAAGGGTATGGCCGCGGCTATAAATAACTCCCGAGTTTAGTCGAAAGAAACAACGGAGCGAGGGAAAATCTCTCTCTCTCTCTCTCTCTCTTTCTTTCTCAGGTCATGGCGAAGCCTAGGAAGCAGAAGAGCGACGAGCAGAAGCATTTGAATTCCGGAGGGGTTGTGCTTCACCAGAAACTATGCATCTCAGTCGACATGGAGAACAGTAGAGTTTACGGGTAAGGGCATCGCCGTTTCTTTCCGTTTCCTAGGGTTTTTAATACCGATTCTGTTCGGGATGATGGGAATTTCACTCGAGCTTGTATACCTGTTTAATTTTCGTGTTTGTTGTAAGTGCATCTTTTGTGGAGAGAGTAAAATTACAACGGTTGGTGCCATGGACAGCCAAGGAAAAAAGCGAAAAGGGTTTTGGCCATATTTGCCGTTTGCTAGCAGGGGAAGCATAGTCGCTGGAAGGAGGTGTTCATGCCTTATTATATGGTATATCGCCAGTGAATAGAAAGAATCGTCTACCTGTTAGGGAAAGTAGTTCCTTGGATTAAAATTAGCTGAATGAAACTTTAATCATGATCCATAAAGGCAGTATAAACTGCAATCTTTTGCCGTCAAAATGCTTTTTTTTGGAACGTTCTAGTTGTTTCTTAGTTAGGTAACATTTGATAATTCTGCATTCCTGTAACCATTTACTGTTCTCACCATTGTCAGAGTGTGGAATCTAGCTAAATTATTTCCTTTTTTTTCCTTTCTTAAGCTGTGCGCTCTCCATTGAAAATCACATTTGAAATGAGTTGCATTCATAGCTTGAAATATTAGAGATTAACACATTTTTGTTGTATGTTAATATTCATTGTTGCATCTTGGGATTCTTATTCTTATACCTAATTATTCCAAGGCATCTTATTTAGAGAGATGGTGGCAATTCTTCACTTTAAGGCTCATGATTTGTAAAAGATATTAACAAAGTGTACCATAGGAGAAAATCCTTTTCATCTTGATAAACTTAGGTTAATGTATAGATTTAGTTCATGATGTTTGTTTTGTATTTTGAGATTCTAATATGTTTCTCATATTTGCATAGCAATTTTTGCAATAATGGAAGATGTTTCTTAATGTGAATTGGATTTACTGTTGAAATGACCCAAAAAAAAGTGAAGAAAGATAATTTGACCTCTAAATGATGATGAAATATAGGCATGGGGGGTAACCCAATGAATGGTGATATTGAGAAAACTGGGAGATTTCCCATTCTCTCAGGGCTATGTAAAATATGCATTTGTAATGCTGCCTCAAGCTACTAAAAAGATAATATTCCAATCTATTAAAAGTTTAAAGCATAATTGAATGCAACAAATTGGCTGTGCGGCCTCCTTTTTTGTCCATGATATACTCTTGGTCCATTATTTTTTAATTCAGAACTCTAGTATGCCATTTATTTGTGTGCTTTTGTGGTAACGTCGAATATTGTAATCATATTGTATCCTTAGTAAAAAGTATTCCCCAAAGAATCATCTCTTTGCTAATCCTTCTTGCTCTTTAAGAAACCGTTAGAATACTGGTCATATGGTGAAGATATGATGATGATTCTAATAAAAGTACAAAACTACAGATGACTGATGCTGGGGATCACTTGTTGCTATTTATTAAATTTTTTAATCATTTCATCTTCATTGTTCACTTGACATGGGAAGTTCATTTATGAACCTAAACTTGACCTTGCAATATTCTGATTTTTGATTACTTTTACTAATGTTTGGTCATTTTGTTTCTTTTAAATTACTTTCATTCTTGCGCAAGCACACATGCATGCCTAGATTTTGCCTTTATCTAAATTTTATGATAATTTTTTTAAGAAACTTTCAAATTTAGATGGATCAGGTATTATGTTTGCTTGAACATTTAAGAACATATAAATTACTGTGGTATGCACTATGCACTTTTCTTTTTTATGTTACTTTCAACTTTTTTGTCAGTCATATGCTTGTATATGTTTTATTATCTACTTTATGTTGTGGTTGCTCCTGGTTCAAGTAGGAGGACGATTTAGTTGTTCGTAGTATTATTATCCATTTTATGCTGTGGTTGCTCTTGCCTCTTGATTCAACTAAGGGGATGATTTTGTTGTTTGTCGGCAAGAAAATATGGATTGTTTGCATATGCTTGAGTAGATTTCCTAGCATGTCTTACCAAGTCCTTTTTGTTCCATACAAGGCACACTGAAATGAAAGTAGTTGTTCCAGAAAGTGGCGTCATTGCTTTACATGCAGACAACATGATAATCAACAAAATAACTGTCGACGGGAAAGATGCTGAATTTGAATGCGTTCCTCATTATCAGTTTGCCGATGATGAGAGCAGTTGGTCCTCAGTATCTTGCTCAAAGTCAGCTGCTGATGCAGCATGCTCAAGTTACATTTCATCTCTCAATAGAGAAACTTCTCCGAATCTGATTATTACATGCTGTAATAAATCAAAAGAGCCACAAAGCAGTATGGGACTAAATGTTCCAGAGAATATTATTCAAAGTTCATGTGCAGAGCAGGTTGTTAATGGTTGCAATGAACATTCTCAGGATAAGGTGACTTCACCAGTTCATTTGCATTTGCTTTCTTTCAAATGTGCTTTGAAGAAGGCTCCACTGGATTTTTTGTTTAGTATGCTGTTTGGTTTGCAGGATGTGAAAGTAATTTGTATAGATTATTGGTTAGATCAGACAGAAACTGGAATCCATTTTGGGGAACGTCTTCTTCATACTGATAATCAGATTAGACGTGTCCATTGCTGGTTCCCTTGCATGTATACATTTTCACAGCATTGCTTGTAAGTTCACTTCCAACAAGTTAAACAAAACTTAGTCATTTTTCTGGTGTACTATATAATATTGATATACAGTTTGTAATGATGTTTCTGTTTAGGTTTGACCTAGAGTTTACAGTTAGTTCTAATTTCGTGGCTGTCAGTAATGGTGATTTACTTTATCAGGTATGTACTTTGAAGTTAACTTTCCAGTTTACTACTGGATAGATATTTGTGAATTCTGCTTTCTTGTTGTCATTTCCTTTTGATCTAGCCATCCTTTTGGGTACATCAAGCATGTCATTTTATTCATGCTATTAGATTCTTTAAGTTAAATATGTGATGAGTTTGGTTATGCATTTAATGGTATAATATAAAATTGCCTTACCGGGTTCTGAACAATTTTATGTTTCATATTTCTTGTAGAATGTTAATTTTGCTCAAATTTGATGTTAACCTTCCAGTTCATTGCAAAAAAGTGTCATCTGATTTTAGTGTTCAGTTTTGTTGAACGTTGAATTGACATGGCTTGTCTGGGTTTGCCCTGAACTTATTATTTTGAGGGAGCAAGAGAAAGTGAGTGAGATAGATATTTAAGAGAGAAGGGGTTGTTTGTAGGGATTCTAGTAGATCTAGAGGGGAGTAATAGAGGGGCATTAGAAGTGGTCAGCTGTCATCGGTTATGTGGTCTTCAATATTTGTAAGAAAGATATATTAGAAATAGGAAATGTCTAACAACTAGAGGTATGATGGATATCAGATTAGCAACACATTTGATCTTCTGATTGTGTACTTGGTGAAGGGAGGAGTATGAGAGGTGGTTAGTGTAGAGGGAGAAGAGTTCAGGTACATCTCCAAAATAGGGGAGTTAATGGAATGGGAATAGTGACCTCAATGGCATGGTCATTAGATGAGCCTTTGAGATTGGACTTGATTGGAACACCCCACAATACCCTTATCATCAACACAGAGTGTCACAAAGAAATCATAACATTCATCATTTTGAACATCTAATACTTTTAATCATTTGAATACTTACGTATATTCCATCCACAACACAATACATTTTTTGAATAAACTGAAGAATATAAATAGTCCCAATTGAATCACAAAAGTAATTACATTGTCACTAAAAAAATCAAAATATATCACCACAATTTGATATGATACATATCTCACATGAAGACTCATAAACATGGCTAAACAGTAAAACCTAAATATTCATTAACCTGAGCTTAATCTGCTTCAACTTTTTCCTTGTAACAATATCCAATATAAAAATTGGTGAGCTATGGAGCTTCTAAAATCAGCTGAAATTATGAGCTATGAACCAAATAAAGGGGAATACTTTTGGACAGGAATTATGAGCTGAAAATGAGATAAACTACAAGTATTAATGAGCTGGAAGGAAGAAGAAGTTCAACATTAATATTTTGATCCCCCCCTCCTTTTGCCTACATCACTATGATATTGGTTTGTTAATGTTATGCTTCATATCCCCCCCTTTTGCCTACATCACTATGATATTGTTTTGTTAATGTTATGCTTCATAAGCATTAAACTTGCCTTTTTTCCCCTCATATTCTACCATATAAGTGTTTTTAAACATATCATGGATTGCATCTCTGTCATATTTCTATGGTTGTTCTGATAATAGATGGTAGACATCCATGAAAATCACATCACACAAAACTTTTTGCTCTTTATTACCTTTGGAGAACTGCACTAAACATTGTTTGGAAATTTTTATCTCATTGCTAGCCAAGATAATTTATAAGGTGTAGGGTGCTCCTGAGTGGAGACTTGATACAATTTGATGTAGGCAGGGGGGGGGGTCAAAACATTGCCTTGTCTCTTGGGCTTTTGGAGGTTTCTCGATTTGGGATTTGTTGTTCAGTTTTTGCTGTTTTGTGAGAGCTGCTATGATTCAGCTCATTATTACTTATAGTTCTCTCTTTTTTTAGCTCATTATGAAGAGTAAATGAGGTTATTTCCCCCTTGCCTGTAACCCTTTGGTTCCCCCATTTGGTTCCTTTCCCGTAGCTGATTCCATCCCCACTTGGCTGCTTTCCCGTGGCTGGTTCTTCCCCCCCTGGTTTTCATGTTCCGGTTCTCCTGGTTTGCCTATTCCGGTTCCCCACTTGGCTGCCTTTCCGTGGCTGATTCCTTCCCTCTTTGGCTGCCTATTCCGGTCCCCCCTTAGCTACCTTTTCCGGTTTGTTGTGTGACTGTTCGGGTGCTGTTCTGGACTGACTATTGGCCTTCAATTTTCCCCTTTTTAATTAGTTTAAATGGGTGAAACTTGGGCTGTTTAGCTGCCCCCTTTTCCCCTATATATATTAGATGTTTTGTAATCAAAAAGGATGTTATGGAGAGATTTTGATTTGATTTTTGGAGCCAAAACCTGTGAGTTTTCTTTGTGAAAAAGCTTGCAAGCTTGTTCCAATCCTCTTCTCTTCTAGGAAAGCTTGTGAGCTTGTTTTCTCTTCATCTTGAATTCTTACCTCTTTCTTCTCTCCGCAAGTTCGACGCCAATTGTATCTTTCTTCTCGGCGGATGAAAAGTAGCATGCAAGTTTAGGATCATTTCAAGTTATCAAACCGATGTTGTGTCTTTCTATTTAAAGTTGTAAGCGTCATTTTATTTCCATAAAAGTTGTATTTTTGAGTATTATTGTGTATTTTCTACTTTCCTAGGAATCGTATAATATGCTTGCAAAAGTTGGGTTCTCCCTATACTTTTGCTTGCATCAATTTGGTATCATAGCTTGTGTTTGTCGAGTGAGTCTTGGTGTCATGAGAGTTTTTTGTTATTATAAGTCTTCATATGTTTTGAGTCTAAATGGATAGTCCATGCAATCATCCTTCGGAAGCCTCATGTCAAGATTCGAATGAGTCCCAAGGAGAAATTGACTCTGTCAAATTTAAAAATCAACCACCTATTCAGGATATAAAGATTCCTAATGTAGAAGGGATTCCGTCGCAAGGAAATTCTACAAATCTCCTACAAAACGAGTTGTATAAAATTCAATATCAAATGTACTTGTGTACGGAGAAATTCGAGAAGAAGAGGAAATTTCTGCAAGCCCAGTTTAGGCAAGAACGTGTGATCCAGAAAAAAATATGTAACTATGATTCCAGGGCTTGATGCGGCACCTTCGTCCCGTTAGGAACATACTCAAGTAATATCATCCAGAAATGAGGATTCTCAACCAGGGGAGAATCTGACGTAGGCAGGGGGGGGGTCAAAACATTGCCTTGTCTCTTGGGCTGTTGGAGGCTTCTTAGTTTGGACTTGGTTGTTTAATTTTTGCTGTTTTGTGAGAGCTGCTATGATTCAGCTCATTATTAATTGCCGTTCTCTATTGTTTTAGCTCATTATGAAGAGCAAATGAGGTTCTTTCCCCCTTGCCTGTGACGCTTTGGTTCCCCCACTTGGTTCGTTTCTCGTAGCTAATTCCATCCCGTAGCTGATTCCAAGGTGCTTATGGAGAAGCAGTTGCTACAGTTGGGACCCATTGCCACTTGCCAAGGAAGAACTTACAGGATGACATTGGCGGGGACTTTGTCCCCTTTGGTGAACATGAGGCCTCCCCTAATTGCATGCCCAATGGAGCACTTGGGACTCATACTTCTGCTGGAGCAATGGGATATCATCCAGCCTTCATGCTGTTTTAAACTGCCTTCTGGTATCTTCCCCCTATGGAGTTGTTCTGTGAGCACCAGTGTGATCGCTTGGGCATGTCATTGGGGTAGGCCTCCTTGTAAACCAAAGGGGCTCTACCTTGCTACTTTTCTTACTTTTGTTTTGAAGTGTCATACTTTTATGGATTTTGCTTTCACTAGTTTAGCTCTTCCCACTTTTGTTTTTTTGTCTTGGGAAGACATAGTTTGTTGTTCCATACTACCTTTGTACTTTCCTTCTTATTAATGCAAATGCAACTTTCAAGATTCCATCCCCACTTGGCTGCCTTCCGTGGTTGGTTCTTCCCCTCTTGGTTTGCCTGTTCCAGTTCCCTTGGTTTGCCTATTCCTGTTTCCCACTTGGCTGCCTTCCCGTGGCTGATTCCTTCCCTCTTTAGTTGCCTATTTCGGTTCCCCCTTAGCTACCTTTTCCAGTTTTTTGTGTGACTGTTCGGGTGCTGTTCTGGACTGACCGTTGGCCTTCCATTTTTCCCTTTTTAATTAGTTTAAATGGGGGAAACTTTGGCTGTTTAGCTACCCCCTTTTCCCCTATATATATTAGATGTTTTGTAATAGAAAAAAGATGTTATGGAGAGATTATGATTTGATTTTTGGAGCCAAAACCTGCGGGTTTTCTTCGTGGAAAAGCTTGCGAGCTTGTTCCAATCATCTTCTCTTCTAGGAAAGCTTGCGAGCTTGTCCTCTCTTCGTCTCGGATTCTTACCTCTTTCTTCTCTCCGCAAGTTCGACGCCAATTGTATCTTTCTTCTCGACGGATGAAAAGCAGCATGCAAGTTTAGGATTTCTTTTCAAGTTGTCAAAGTGATGTTGTGTCTTTTTATTTAAAGTTGTAAGCTTCGTTTTATTTCCATAAAAATTGTATTTTTGAGTATTATTGTATATTTTCTACTTTTCTAGGAATCTTGTAATATGCTTGCAAAAGTTGGGTTCTCCCTATACTTTTGCTTGCATCACAATTTTTTCACAACTTTCAACCATTTGACTTGATGCTATATTTTCACAACTCTTCCATCAATAACAATATTACCCACTTTTCTTTGCAAGACGCATCTAGCATGGAAGATGTTGTGTCAAATCCATCCAAATTCTGGATCTATGGCTATATTCAAAATTGTATTTTTGAGTATTATTGTATATTTTTTACTTTCTAGGAATCTTGTAATAGCTTGCAAAAGTTGGGTTCTCCCTATACTTTTGCTTGCATCACAATTTTTTCACAACTTTCAACCATTTGACTTGATGCAATATTTTCACAACTCTTCCATCAATAACAATATTACCCACTTTTCTTTGCAAGACGCATCTAGCATGGAAGATGTTGTGTCGAATCCATCCAAATTCTGGATCTATGGCTATATTCAAAATCCTACAAACCATAAGAAATTTTCGATCATCTTTATACACTAAGTTTTCATTATCATCAACAACAACAACACCAACAAAACAGGGTGGTTGTTTTTATTTTTATTTTTTTTCCTGGGG